TCTGAGGGTCCCACTGGGCACAGATGGCACCTCCAGAGGGTCCAGCCCCCTGGAATGCCCATCCTGACCACGCTCCCGGTTGTCTCCGCAGGGGAACTGGGACACGTCGGGCAGCGAGCTGAGCGAGGGGGAGCTGGAGAAGCAGAGGAGGACTCTGTTGGAACAACTGGATGAAGATCAATGACAAATTATTTATACCAAAAATGTTTACATGGCATCCCAGCCCAGCAGAGCGTGGAGGGGCCTCGGCCCCCCTTCCACAGCTGGAATTACAGCGGCTTTTAGTTTGTCCCACGTCACCCCAGTCAGTCCCTATTGGCAGCAAATGGAGAAAATGAGTGGAATTCCCAGGGCAGAGCTGGAGCTCTGGGGTGGGATGGGCGTGTCCCCAAGCCCAGGGGAGCCTCAGCACCTTCCTGGCCAGGGAACAGCACTGGGCTGCTGGGCAGAGCCATTTCAGCTTTGGAAAAGGGTCTTAATTCACCTTCTTATGGTTTAATTCACTGGAGGGATCTGGTTGGGTGCCTTTTTCTGGGAAGGCAACGGGAGCAACGAATCCATGTCCTGATCTGTCCTGCAAACCCCAGATTTTGGGATTGTTCTCAGTCACAATGTGCAGTTTGTCCAAGACTTGACTGATTCTTGTCCGAGCACCGACTCGGAGCGACTTTCCCAGTCACTAACCCTGGGAATGTGAACGGGAATGTGGCTGCAGCGCCAGCAGAGGGGGTGTGTGTGACACAACCGCCTCATTCCCAAATCCCGCCCCGGCCCAGCCGTGGGCGTGCCCTCAGCGCTTATCTCCACCTCTATCTCCTCCTGTACCTCCACCTTCGGAAAATTTAGGAATAAAACTCAAATTTGACCCCGATTTCCATGTGTTGCCTTAAGAACCTGCTGCAGAATGTCCCTGCCCGGCCCAGAGCAGGGAGGAGGAGGCAATTCCAGCCCTCTCTTCCAACCCCTGCGTGTCCAGGAAGGTGCCCCCGCCCTGCTCGGGGAGAAAATTGGGAACCCGCTCTCCTTGGAATATTTTTGTACATTTTTATTGATGATTAAACCTTGTCTCGTACCCTGCCTGGTGGGTGTCTGTGCTGGCCGTGCAGTCCTGGCTCTGAGTGTTGCATTCACATCCTCATCCCTCCCCAATCCCAGCAGGGGAACAGGAGCAGCTCAGCTCCTTCCCAGCCTGGATCTCCCTCCTTTTCACAATTTACTGCTGGATTCATCCAGGGAATTCTCCTGCTGGGGTGGTCTCGTGGCTCAGACTCCTTGAGAGCATCCCGAGGGTGGAATCGACATTTCAGGTGGAAAATGCAGGAGCCTGGAACCATTTCTCCTGGGATGGTTTGGGGTTTTGTGTGGGGTCAGCTGGGATTTTTCCTGACATGATTCAGGACTCTTCCTGGGATGATTCAGGTTTTTTCCTGGGATGATTTGGGATTTTTCCTGGGGTGATTTGGGATTTTTCCTGGGGTGATTTGGGATTTTTCCTGGGGTGATTTGGGATGTTCAGAGCCCATCCCAATCCTGGTGTTTCCCTTGGAGTGAGCTCATCACTCCCTCTCTGCCTTTGCTTGGGAGAAACATCCTGAGTGTGAGGAAGCAGAGCTTGGAATTCCTGGAATCCAGGGGGTGTTTGCTGTGGAAATCCAGGCTGGCAGCCCTGGCAGGGCGATATTCCAGGTTTTTCCCTGCAGTGAGGGATTCTCCCAAGGCAGGAGGGCTGGTGGTAGCTGCTCCAGGAGGGACAATCAGCCAGGCCTGGGCGTGCTTTGCTCCCCTTCAATTCACTGCCATTTGGGATTTATTTCCTGCTTTTTTTCTGGGATGATTTAGCATTTTTTTCCTCGAATTATTTGACATTATTCCTGGAATTATTTGGGTATTTTTCCTGGGATGATTTGGGATTTTCCCTGGGATGTTTTAGGATTTTTCCTGGGATCATCTGGGATTTTTTTTCCCGGGATGGTTTGCAACTTTTCTTGGAATGATTCGGGATTTTCCTTGGGATGATATTGTTTTTTCCTGGGATGTTTTAGGATTTTTCCTGGGATCATCTGGAATTTTTCCCAGGATAATTTGGGATGTTTCCTTTAATTATTTGGGGTTTTTTCTGTGATCATCCTGGGATGATTTTGGATTTTTCCTGAGATGATTCCCTTCCATTCCCTTCCTCATTCCCTTCCACCCATGGAATTTTAGGGCAGTGATTTCCCAGGAAATCAAACCCTTGGAAGCTTTGCCTTTATTTTCCCGTTCCAAATAAACGGGAATAAATAATCAACTAAAGAATAAAAATAATCAATAAAGAATAAAAACAATCAATAAAAATAATCACTAAAGAATCAAAATCAGCCCCTCCAATGGGAAGGATCCTCAGGCTGGGCTTGTTTTCCATGGCTTTCCCAAAGGAATTCCTGCCCCTCTGCATTCCCAGCTGGCCGTGGCAGGGCTGGAGTTCCCAGGGGAAGGGGAAGGAATTTGCTCCCAGGGATCATTTGGGGGGGTTCCCGAGGGTGTCCCCGAGGCCCCCCCGGGGCCTCCAGAGCCCCCCGTTTATCCAGGGACCATTTGGGATTTTACCTGGGGTGATTTGGGTTTTTTCTTGGATGATTTGGCATTTTTTTCCTGCAATTATTTGGCATTTTTTCCTGGGATAATTTGGGTTTTTTTTCCTGGGATGATCTGGGATTTTTTTCCTGGAGTGATTTGGAATTTTTCCTGGGATGATTTGGCATTTTTTTCCTGGAATGATTTGGCATTTTTTCCTTGAATTATTTGGATTTTTTTCCTTGGATGATTTGGGATTTTCCCTGGGGTCATTTGGGACTTTTTCCTGGGATCATCTGGGATTTTTTTCCCGGGATGGTTTGCAATTTTTCCTGGGCTGATTTGGTTTTTTTTCCTGGGATGATCTGGGATGTTTCCTGGGGTGATTTGGGGTTCTGTGTGGGATCATCTGGGATTTTTCCCAGGGTGATTTGAGGTTTTTTTGCCGAGATGATCCAAGGGTTTTTCCTGGAGTGATTTGGGATTTTTCCTGGGATGATTTGGAATTTTTTCCATAGAATTATTTGGCATTTTTTAATGGAATCATGTGGGTTTTTTTCCCCGGGGTGATTTGGCATTTTTTCTTGGCATTATCTGGGATTTTTTTTCCCAGGATGGTTTGCAATTTTTCTTAGGATGATTTGGGATTTTCCTTGGGATGATATGGGTTTTTTCCTGGGATGATTAAGGTTTTTTCCTGGGATCACCTGTGATTTTTCCCAGGATTACCTGGGATGTTTCCTTTAAATATTTGGGTTTTTTCTGGGATCATCCTGGGATGATTTTGGATTTATTCCTGAGATTATTTGGGATTTTTTTTCTTCCATGATGATTTGGAATTTTTCCTGGGACAATTAGTTTTTTTTTTTTTTGTGGGATGATTTCAGATTTTTTTCCTGGGATCATCTGTGATTTTTCCCAGGTTTTTTTCTTGGCATCACCTGGGATTTTTTTCCTGGAGTGATTTGCATTTTTTTCTGGGATGATTTGGGATTTTTCCTGGGATATTGATTTTTCCGGGATCATCTGGATTTTTCCTATTGGATGTATTTGGGTTTTTTTCCTGGGATGGTTTGGGATTTATTCCTGAGATGATGTGGGATTTTTCCTGGAATGTTTTGAGATTTTTTTTCTTGGCATCACCAGGGATTTTTTTCCTGGAATGACTTCATATTTTTCCTGGAATTATTTGGCATTTTTCCTGGAATTATTTGGGGTTTTTTCCTGGGATGATTTGGGGTTTTTTTTCTGGGATGATCTGGGATTTATTCCTGCCATCATCTGGGATTTTTCCTGCAATGTTTTGAGATTTTTTCTTGGCATCATCTGGCATTTTTTTCCTGGAGTGATTTGGGATTTTTCCTTGAATGATTTGGGTGTTTTTTCTGGGTTGATTTGGGATTTCTTTTCCTTGGATGACTTGAGAATTTTTCTGGGGTGATTTGGGAGTTTTTCCTGAGATGATTTAGGACTCTTTCCTGGGATGATTCGGGTTTTTCCCAGGGTGATTTTCCTGGAATTATTTGGGGTTTTTTACTGGGGTGATTTGGGTTTTTTTCTGGGATGATTTGGCAGTTTTTTCCTGGAATTATTTGGGGTTTTTTCTGGGATGATCTGGGATTTATTTCTGGCATCAACTGGGATTTTTTTCCTGGAGTGATTTGCAATTTTTCCTGGGATGATTTGGGATTTTTTTCCTGGAATGACTTGGCATTTTTTCCTCGAATTACTTGGGTTTTTTTCCTGGGATGATTTGGGAGTTTTTTACTGGAATGATTTGACATTTTTGCTGGAATTATTTGGGTTTTTTTCTTAGGATGATTTGGGATTTTCCCTGGGGTGATTTGAGATTTTTCCTGGGATCATCTGGGATTTTTTTCCTGGGATGGTTTGCAATTTTTCCCGGGATGTTTGGGATTTTTCCTGGGATCCTCTGGAATTTTTCCCAGGATAATTTGGGATGTTTCCTTTAATTATTTGTGTTTTTTCTGGGATCATCCTGGGATGATTTTGGATTTTTCCTGTGATTTTTTGGGATTTTTTTCCTGTGATGATTTGGAATTTTTCCTGGGACGATTAAGTTTTTTTCCTGGGATCATCTGTGATTTTTCCCAGGATAATTTGGGATGTTTCCTTTAAATATTTGGGGTTTTTTCCTGGGATGATTTTGGCTTTTTCCTGAAATGATTTGGGATTTTTTTCTGGGGTGGTTTGACATTTTCCCCTGGGGTGATTTGGAATTTTCCTGGGGTGATTTGGGATTTTTCCTGGGATCATCTGGGCTTTCTTTTTCCCAAAGAGTAAATTGATGCTGTAAATTACCTGGAGAATCCTTTCAGTGTCGATCCCCCCAGAGCTGCCACAACCCCCAGGAGTTCTCCTGTCCAAGATCACCAGCAGGGAAGGGGAAAAAAAGGGAAAAAAGTGACCAAAAAACCCTGGCAGGATTTGGGTGTAGTAGTGTAAATAGTTTATTTGATTTTATGGCAGGAACAGACCAGGAAAGGAACGTGAACTGCTTTATAAAACACTCTAATCTTGCTAAGAAGCAGATCTATTACTAGAAAAATATTAAAGAGAACATGCCAGCCTGGAGAATTTGGGTCTTTAATTAAAAAAATACCTTTGAGCTGAAGGAGGTGAGATCTGGTGCTTGTTAACCAATCGTTTCTTCCATTTAATTTAAAATTTATTTCCATTCCAACACTCCTTGTGACTGCCCAGGGAGGCAAAGGATGTCGTGGCATGTTCTCTTTAGTGGGTCAAGTGCTGTAAATGCAAGGAACTGGCAGTTTTGAAAGTCAAAATTCCTGTAAATAGGTCAACGTGGTAACTCTGAGCCCCAAACTGTCCGTTTAGTTAAATATAAAAACAAAAACTATAAGTTAAAATAACATTCAGATTGTATAGCACAGGCTTGATGCATTTATTTCATTTTAAACAATATTTACAATATTACCCAGAGGCTAAAGGGGGGGGGAACAGGGAGGGGATAAAAGAGAAGTGTAAAAACCATAAAAAACTGCACCAATTTTGTAGCAAAATATCTGTACATTTAAAAACAGATTATCATATAACTACACGTTATCCGAGGGGGAGGAGGATCCAGGGACCTTCACCAGTGGTTCAAGGGAGCACAACGGAGAGGGGCAAAGAAATTCAGTGGTTAAATACTATACAAGAAATTTTACAATGGACACGGGGGTGACGAGCCCAGGAAAGAAGCTGGAAGCGAAAACGGGGCTTGGAAAGGACAATTCCCTCTCTTCAGTCCAGTTCTTCCCAGCTGGGAGGATCAATCAAGGCCTTGGATTCCTCCCACTGCTCCGGGATCTGGGGGTGCAAGACGGGCCTAAAACGTCTCCTGTCCCTTTTTGAGGCTGGAAAAAACCATTTAGGAGCTCCAACCTGCCTGGGGTTTTAGGCTGGGCTTGGCTTTGGTGCCCGAAGGAGCCTCAGCAGGGAATGGGGCTGGGATTGTCCCGGGCTGGGATCCCTCAGAGCGGGGCTGGGCTGGGCCCTGGGGAGGAACTGGACTGAGATGGTCCCAGAGCCTAATACTGATTACTGAGGTGTTAATTGGCTTAGTGCTAATTAATAAATAGCTGTTACTCCAGAGCTGTGAGTGCCAGCCAGGCCTCCCCTCCCTGCCCTGAGCCCCCAGACCCCAAACCCTCCCTGCCTGGGGTGACCTCGTTCGGTTCCTCTCCCCAGGATCACGGATGGGTTTGGTCCCACATCCAGCTCCGGAGGCGCCTGGGGTGGGAAAAGAGCTGGCTCACTCCTTGGGGTTGTTATTTCTACAGAAAGCCCTTAAATATCTTCCTCTGAAATTAAAAACCCAAGCCCTAAGTGCAGCTGAGGCCCTGGGCGCCAGCACAGGAACCATTCAGAAGCCGAGCACGTGAAAGCTGAGCACATCCCAGTTATTCCCAGTTATTCCCAGTTTCCAACCGGTCGGGCCCGCAGGGGAGAGGCCGAACCGCGCCCTCAGGCAGCCAAAGCGACCCCCAGATGAGGGGCACGGTACATTTTGGTTGCAGACACCGAGGGTCCCGGGCGGGTCCTTCCATCTCAGGCACTTGGTGGCTCCGGGCGCGGCGTTCCCGGCAGGGGTGTTTGGCTGTTCCCGAGGCTGGAGGAGCGCAGGGCTGAGGTGGCCGAGGCCCCGGGGGAGCCCCGGCTCTCACATGGCCACGTCGGGGCCGCCGGCCGAGCGCAGGCCCTGCTCGTCGAAGCGGCGGCGCACGCTCCTCCTCAGCGCATCGGCCCGGCGGTACGGCTGGTTCCGAAGATCTGCGGGCAGGGAAGGGCCGTCAGCGCACCCCGGGACACCCCACACACACACATCACACATCACACACACACACAGCCAGACGAGGAAAGGCCTGCTGGAAGCCAATCAAAGCAGCTTGTGGGGGGCAGAGCAGGGGGGAGCGGGGGCGGCCGTGCCCGACTACGCGCCCAAGCAGCGGGGTAATACTGGTGGGACCGTGGGGGGTGATGATGGATGTTCCCCCCCAGCCACGAGGCACCATCACCCCAAATGTGAGGTTGATGTGTGCCCCACTCCCCCAGACCCCACGGGAGCTGGAGGACGATCCCACAGCGGGATGAGGGAGATGTGCAACCCACAGGCCCACGGGACAGGTTTGGCCACAGCAGGATGGAGCTGTGATCCCTGTGTCCCCATTTACCACAGAATCGGTCGGCAAAGACCTCTAAAGTCGGGTCCAACCACATTAAAGGTGGGAAAAGCAGCTGGGGCTTGGGATGCTCCACCTGCTGTCCTGCCCCGTGGCTGGAGCAAAGGTTGTGGAATGGCCAAACCCTCCTCATCCTCATCCTCATCCTCCTCAGCTGCAGCAAAGCCAGCCCAACCCACCCCACTGCTGGGGAGGTGAGAGCTCAGGAGGGAACACTGAGCATGGCATGGATGGATGGATGGATGGATGGATGGATGGATGGAAGAGTGGGAAAGTTGATGGATGCGTTGATGAAGCCCATTCCCTGTGCCACATGTGTCACTTGTACAGCTACAACACAACCAGCACGTGGCTCCCCTGGAGGCTATTCCAGATCAAATATTTCTCTCCTGGCCAACAAATTTGTGTTGGATTGGGCAAACCCTCCCTCAGATGTCCTGGATAATTGTGTCAGGGTTACACACAGCTCCCAAACTCCTTAGCTCTGCTGCTGGAGCTGCTGGTTGAGCACCTCACCCCCATTTTGTGGTCTGGGGGCAGCAGAACCTCCAGGAAACTGTGGGGCTACAAAACCCAAGGACAAGACTAATTTGGGCTGAACTTGCAGAGGAATGGCCAGAACAGCGTGAAGATGGTCACCAGCCAACGGCCTGTGGATCCCCTGCACCTCCAGGGGTGAAAATCAACAATCTGGGTCTCCACAGGCCTGGAGGGTCTCACCAGTATTAGCTCAGCCACATCTACCACCAGCTCCTGGCAGACAGAGAGAGGAGGAAGCCAAGTAAAAAGTGATGCTTGCCAGCTCTGGGTATCCTCCACCACCGGGGTGCTAGAAGAAATCCTTACCCTCGAGTGAACATTGGGAAATTTAGTGATATTATTCTTCTTTAGGGCTAAACAGAAAAAAAAAAACAAAACAAAACAAAAAAAAAACAAACAAAAACAAAACAGAACACAAAATGATGGTTAAGTAAAAAAATGGGATGGAAAATGAAGAGCAAGTCAAGTCAGCAAAGTTCAAACCTCCCGAGCGGGGCAACCACAGAGCAAGAGGGTGAGGCCAAGGCTGTGAGGGGTTAGACAGGGGCAGGAGGGACAGGAGGCCCCCTGGCCTCTCCCCACCCCAATTCCAAGCTGCTTTGAAGGTTGGCTCCAGGAAGAGAACACGGCAGCGGACTCGGAGAGCAAAGACACGTCGAGTGATTAGTTGGATTTATTGCAGCATTAATTAAAGTACACAGGGCAGGGGGAAACACTGTTGGCTTCTTAAGCTGCTGGGGCCTTAATGCAAGACAACAGTGCTCAGACATGCAGGGTTAGAGACACCCTTCCTACACGGACACCACGGTGGGAATCGCTCAGTTCCACGTCAGCCTCTTCAGCAGCAATTGTGGCCCACATTGAAGTGTTTCCCCAGCCCTGCTCCTCCTTCCCCCCAGTCCCAGCACTGCACAGTCCAGCTGAACTGGCTCGTGCTCGGGAAAGATTCCTGATTTTCCTTAGGCAAAGCTGACATGGAAGTGAGGAAGTTAAATGTGGATGTGAGCAATGAGCAGAGATCTCCCCCCGCCGGTTCCACCCCGTGTCTCACGTGCAGCCAACATGCAGGTGCTGGTTAGGAAGCTATCCCAAACCAGGGGTGTTAGCCCACACAGCCCTCCCCAGCCAGAAGCCACCCCAGGGATGTGCCCTGGGTCCATGCAGCCCGGAATTCCACCGAGGAACGTATCGCATGCACGGCACACCGAGGTGTGCAGGCCACGGGGGTGACATAGAAAAGCCAAGTGGACGTCACTTCTCGACTTCATTTGGTCTCCTCAGCCCTTGGACTGCAGGAAACCCGCCCCAGTGACTGCCACCACTTGCTGTTCTATGGCACTGGGACACCAGGACGGCCAGAAGTCGATGGGATGGAGCGAGAAGTTATGGAGACACGGGACGTGCAACGGAGGTGACACCACGAGAACGTCGGTGACGCCGGACACCACTAAACACTCAACATTCACATGTCCTGGCTGAGATCTGCACGAACAGGGTGGGGGGGACAACAAATCTACAGCCACCTTCCTGGTTTCTAAGAGCGTCAGGTGTGAGAGAGGAATAGTTTAGTAATGGAATTCCTCCGTGACAACGGGGTCGCAGAAGAACCGAGAGCCGCGCTTGGCGCTCCGGGCGGTGAACGGCACCGTCTTCAGCACTGCATGGGAACAACAACAGCCAGACACACAAACCAACGTCAGCAGGGCTCCAGGGCATTAGTGCAGGGTTAGTGCTCCACCAGGGACACTCTGACGTGGCCCAACAGCTCCCCGAAAGCTGCTCCTCAGCGGGCTTTGGACACGGCAGCGGAAAGGACCGGCTCACGGAATTCCAGAATGGTTTGGGTTGGAAGGGGTTTAAAACTCATCTCATCCCACCCCCTGGACACCTTCCACTAGAGCAGGTTGCTCTAAGCCCTGTCCAGCATGGCTTGAGCACTCCCAGGGACAGGGAGCTCCATGATTTCCTGGGATAAGGAGGTGACCTCAGTCCTACCTGACTCCCTGTGCCTGACCTTCCCCACTCCACGGCTCAAGCCACCTCCACAATGGGAAATACCAGGCACAAGGGCATAGGAAATGTTTAATTTGAGCTGAAATGCCTAATCTGGCACCCCCTCCACTGGATGCCTTTCCATGGGAAGGGCATCTGCCACACAGTGTTTCTGCCCCGCAGCAGCAGAACCACTTTCCCAACCCAACAAGCTCCCAGGAGTGTGGAGGAGCTGGAGAAGCACTGACAGATTGGATGTTACTGCCAGCCTGCCCTTAACATCCAGAACATTGTCTCAGGAAGCCATTAATCAAGGTTAAAAGGAGCTGGGAAAGCTTCACACTCATCAGCCCTGTCCTCTGGTTGGGCAAAAACTCCCTGGCTTTCCTTAGTGACTGGTAAAACAGCTCCTTCTGCAGGAAAAACTCATGGGAAAAACTCCCAGGAGCAGTAGGAAAAGACCTTTCCTTGATCTTCTGTGCAAGGAAACACAGGATTGTAGAGTTACTGAAGAGTTAAATCCTGTTCCTTGCACACCACAGTGTGTGGAAAACTCCAAGTACTGCAAATCAGAGCAGCTGGACAGGTTAAAATAGTTCAATTCCTGAGCAAAAGGCAGTTTTAGGTGGTTCTTTCTATCAGCAAATATTGGCACCCAAGCCCTGCCTGTGCCTGAGCAGGAACAGGAGCAGTTTGGGTTTGATCCCTGGTTTGATCGAGTGATTTGCTGTAACTCTGCCATCACCATAAGGACAATTTCATGGAAGTGGAGGCTCTTCATCACCTTAAACACCCATCATTTGGGGGCAAAGAGGGTTCTGGGACACATCTGAGGGGCAAGCACATCCCAGTGAGAGAACTCTGGGATCTCTGGGGACTCCCTGGCTGCTCCAAAGCCCAGGGAACGTCCCCACAGCTGGAGAAGGACTAAGACACCGAGCAGAGCCTTCAACAACCAACACCCTCAGCTCTGCTCCGGCTCCGAGGAGCACAGGAGGCCCCTGGAGCAGCTCCCGGGCAGCTCCCAGCGCTGCTCCCCGTGGGAGGGCCCCGGGTGCCCCAGGAGGAGGGTTACCTGTGATGATGTCCTCGATGGCGCCGTCCTTGCCCTCGTACACGTGCCGGTTGTCCTTGACCTGCCGCCGCCGCAGCTCCGCGATCAGCTCCTGCTGCTGCCGCTTCGTCTTGTGGGAGGGGGACTGCAGACAGGGACAGGGCGTGCAAGGATGGACCTCCAGCTCTGCTGCCTCTGCCTGAACCTCACACACCAGTCTGGTGGTAACCAGCACATGGGAACTGCCCTTTCCCCCCATTTCCCGAGGCTGGAATGCCCTTGTGTGCCCGTGACTCCCATCCCAGGGAGAAGCCAGAGAGGGACAATGTCCAGCTCGTGGACATGGGGACAAGGCAACTTTCCACTTAGGTGCTCTTAATTTTTCAGACTTCCAAAGCAGCAGAAGCACAAACTTTTCCAGCTTATCCCAGCTCTCTCCACATAAGGAGAAAACTTCCAGAGACCATTTCCTGGCAACTGCAAGTTGGGCAACTGAATTCCCCCCACAGAGCTGAGGCTTCTGAAGCACCAGGAACATGATCCCACCTGGGAGGTGTATCTGGGCCATACCTTTTGGTCCTGCTGCTCCATCAATGCTTCCTGCTCCATAAGTTTTTCCATTAAGGCCTGTTCCTGCTTTTTCCTCAGCTCATTCTCTTCCTCTGCTTGCTATTTATGGGGAAAACCAGGGGTTAGAGCTGCAGGTGAGGCTGGGATCCCAAACAGTGCCAGGGAGGAATGGCAGCAGGTGCTACTGAGGGGAGGGCAGGAGGGGAAGAGGGGGAGGAGGAGAAGGAGGAGCAGAGGAAAAGGGAAGGAAAAGGCAAAGAGGAAGAGGAGAAGAAGGAAGCTCCTGCTTACCTTGTAGGCCTTCACAAACCGGACAAACACCGGGAAAAAGACCGAGGGGGGAGTTGTCTTGGGATTCTCCCCGAAGTACTTCACAGCATCATCAAAGGCATCCTGCAACAGGCACGGATTCACTGCACTGCCCCAGGTCACCTCCCCATCCCCACCGTCCATTCCATCCTGTGGGGAGAGCTCCCCGAGGAACAAGGGGTACCTGGGCTATCTTGGCGTCGTCCTGCAGCTTCTTGAGCTTGCCCTCGTTGTTCTGGATGAAGTCCTTGAGCATGGTGTTGTGGTCGTGCATGGTGTACTCGCGCTTGGTCAGCTCCAGGCCCCGCTGCAGCTCCTTCACGTCCAGCAGCACGTTCTCCAGGGACACTGGGGACGGCACACAGGCTGCAACCCTCACCCCGGGGGCTTCCCTGCCCGCAGGAGCCGTCCCTGGGGGCGGGGGAGGCCGCAGGAGGGTCCCAGTACCTGCTGCTGCCTTCTCCACGTAGTGCAGCTCGTTGTAGAAGAGGGACACGTGCTGGTACTTCTCCTTGACCACGTTGGAGATGTAGTGCAGCAGCGTCAGCTTCCGGTCTGTCGACTTGGTTTCCAGGAGCTGTGGGCAAGGCCAGCAGATGGTGGAGGTGGGGGGAGCAGCAGCTTCCAAGCCAAGGACTCGATGTTCTCGTGGCTTTTTCCAACCTAAACCACCCCATAACCCCAGTTCCCACCTGGTCCCAGCACACCCCTCTCGCTTCACTTACCAGGTCTAAACTCTGCAGCTTAAAGCCATAGACAGCGCCTCGTTTGCTGCTGTTCATGTAGTTCCCAAGAGCCAGGATGATCTGCCAGGAGGAAACAAGCAGGGCAGGGATTTTCAGGGCAAGTGCCCAGGGCTTTGGAAGCCCCTGGAAACAGAGCTGGTGTCAGACCTACCTCCAGTATCTTCTTAAGCTTTTGGGATGACTTTATGGAGACAGAGGCAGCGATTATGGCGTGGAGTTGCTGGAGGGAAACACAGAAAGAGCGTTGGTTACTGGAACGTCCCACCAGGAGTGAAATGAACATTTAATCACATCCTGAAAAAATCTCCATATTTTTCATCCACACCAGGGGCCTGAGCATGGATGTCCCCCTGCTCTGGAGCCAGGCTGGGACAGCTGGGGGGGTCACCTGGGCAGAGAAGGATCCAGGGACACCTGAGAGCCCCTGGCAGGGCCTAAAGGGGCTCCAGGAGAGCTGGAGAGGGACTGGGGACAAGGCATGGAGGGACAGGACACAGGGAATGGTTTCCCACTGCCAGAGGGCAGGGAGAGATGGGAGATTGGGAAGGAATTGCTGGCTGGGAGGGTGGGCAGGCCCTGGCACAGGTTGGGCAGAGAAGCTGTGGCTGCCCCTGGATCCCTGGCAGTGTCCAAGGCCAGGTTGGATGGGGCTTGGAGCAACCTGGGCTGGTGAGAGGTGTCCCTGCCCGTGGCAGGGGGTGGGGTGGGATGGGATGATCCTCAATGTCCCTTCCCACCCAAACCATTTTGTGATTGTGTGGATGTTCCCCTGTCCTGACACACCATTTCAAACCCTGCATTTGCCCACCAGATTCATCCCCTCAGGCGTGGTGGGGTCAAAGAGGCTTCCCATTTCAATCCCTACAACTCTGACAGGCCCCAAGGCTGCCAGAGCTCGGGGAGGGTTCATGGGCAGGGTGGGACCGTTGGGTGCCTGTGCAGGGCCAGGACTCGGATCGGTGATCCCCAGCTCAGGCAGGGAACGCTCCCAGACTCCGGGGCTCACCGGGGTCAGCATCTGGATGCTCTCGGCGAAGTTGCCGATGAAGGCCATGATGGTCATCTTCTGCATGAGCCTCTCGATCTTGCTGAACTGCATCATGAACCGGTCCTCGTCCGACAGGTTCTCGATGGGCTTCCGCTCCCGCTCGTACAGGCGCAGCACCTTCACCTCGTTCTCCGTGGGCAGGAACCGCATCAGGCACTCCACAAAATCCACCGGCAGCGTCTTCAGGTCAAACCTGCGGCACCACACCAGGACAAGGGCTCAGGGACAGCCTGGACGGGGCTTGGAGCCACCTGGGCTAGGGGAAGGTGTCCCTTGCCACATGGCAGGTCCTTCCCCACCCAAACCAGGCTGGGATTCAGCTCTGCATGAGCCTCAGTCAGCAGAGAAGAAGCTGTGAAGTTCTTCCTGCCCTGCACCTGAAGCTCCCTGCACGTGGAGATGGGAACAGGTTACTGGGCTGATGGGAATGGTGCTGCTGGACACTGCTTTCCATCCCACATACATCCCTCCACGGCCACAGCTCTTTTTTGTAAGAGAAAAGAGGTGGGGAGGAGCAAGTATTTTTATTTAACTGAAGCAGAGCCCTGTAAAACTCCAACAACTGAACCTGCCTCGATGTGGGGCAGGTTTTGGGTCACCCTCCAGCCCAAAGGTAATGCTTGTGACCCACATTTTTAAGATATTCCTTACTGGAGGAATGGGTGATGTTTGTCATGGCCACGAGGAGCACAGAGAATGTGTGGGTGGATTTGGGATCAGCCCAAGAGTTCCCTCTTCCTGATTCTCTGGCTTTTGGGTGCTCACTGGCCCAGAAAATATTGTGGAAACAGAGGGAGAGCTGCCATGGATATGGATCCACTATCCTCTGCACAGACAGGAATTAACTGCTTTAATAACAGAAGTGTTCATTTGTTAATTCTCAGCAGTGATTCAGAGACACAGAACTGCCAGGCTTTTATCTTAGTTCAAGGCAATCGGATTTCTGGGAATTCAGAACCATTCCCCTCTTACCCCTGGATATTTTCCAGATGCACCAACTGCCAATTCCAACCCTTTCCACTGCCCAAACCCCCCAGTAAACCTCAGGGTTTCTTGGCTGGCTGGTGTTTCACTTACACGTGGATGGCCTTGCAGATCTCGTCCGCCGTCTTCCCGGCTTTCCGGAGGGTTATGGCCAGGTTCTTGGCCCTGTTGGCATCCAGCAACGTGACCTTGTTGGAGCCTTTCTGGGTGATCTTCTGCTTGCTGGAGGTCAGATCAATGGCTGGGCCCTGGGCCTTTGTTTTGAATATTTCTTCGAATTCATCCACGTTCAGATCCTAGAAAGGAAAGGCAATGATTTATCCCTCCTGCAGGGAGCACCCAACCCAGTCCCTAATCCTGGGCCAGAGCTGCAGGGAAGGGGTGAGACTGGAGCAGAGTATCATGGAATCATGGAATGCTTTGGGTTGGAAAGGATCTTAAAGCTCATCCAGTCCCACCCCCTGCCATGGGCAGGGACACCTTCCACTAGCCCAGGTTGCTCCAAATCCCATCCAACCTGGACTTGAAATCCAGATTATTTCCATCAGACATGGAAGGAGCACTCATTCCTGAGCTGGTGATCAGGAAATCTGGCCAGAGTCCAGAAATCCAGCCCTGAGAGCCCTTTAGATGTTCTGAAGTTCAGGAAAACATTCATGCTCGAGCTCGTGCTTTATCCAGCCCACAGGGAGCACCCAGAGCTGCACGAGCCCTTTGCCAAGGTCACTGCCATGGTCTGTCCCTGTGGGGACCTTCTCACTGTCCCACTCCTTGACAGGAGAAAGGGGGGGTCGGGCTCTGCTCCCAGGGAACAGGGACAGGAGGAGAGGGAACGGCCTCAGCTGTGCCAGGGGAGGGGCAGGTGGGACATCAGCAGGAATTTCTCCTGGAAAGGGTGGTCAGGCACTGGCACAGCTGCCCAGGGAGGTTTGGAGTGCCCAGCCCTGGAGGGATTTCCAAGCCCTGTGGATGTGGCACTTTGGGGACGTGGATCAGGGGTGGCCTGGACAGTGCTGGGGGACAGATGGACTCAGTGAGCTAAGAGGGCTTTTCCCACCCAATCCATTTCCTGATTCCATGACTCCCTCGTGGCCAGGGAGGGTCAGGAGCAGCTGAGGTACCTCGAGGATCCTCTCGTCGTCGATCTCGTTGAAGACGGTGCCGTTGATCTGGTTGGGCTTCAGGGCCACCCAGTTGAACACGGGCATGCGGAACTTGGTCTTGATGGGCTTCTTGATCTTCACAGCTACACACAGGGGAGAGGAAACCACGGATTCCTGAGGGACTGGCTGCACAACACCCCACATTCCCAGAGGGCAGCTCCCCAGCTGGCATTTCAGCACCAGAGAACTGGCCAGAGCTCAATTATCCCACTGGAACCCTGCAAAGGTGTCACTGCCTCGATGGGCTAACAGTGTCACCCAGCCCTGAGCTGCTTCAGGCCCAGCCTAACCCCCAGGGGCTGTGAAAACTTCCCTAAAGGAAATCTGAGATTAGTTGATTGCCACATGCTACCTGGATTGATTTAAAAGCCCAGGGTTTATATTTAAACACCCCAGAAAATGGAGAGAGTGGTGGAATTTAAGCCTGTCCTGCTGCTGGCAGAGCAGTGTCACACACCCCGGGAGCTGTGGCCCAAAACAGGTGACAAGAAGGAAAAAAACCCCTTTCCCCAGGTTTTGGGGAAACTGCACAGGACAGAGCTGCTCTTCACCAGGTTTGTGTTTCAGAGCCAAAGGGGTTGGGCTGCAGCACCTGGGATTTAACAGGGGGGGAAAAAACCAGGTTTTAGTTCCTGTGCTGTGCAAATGCAGTAAATTAAAGTAATTTAGGAACTTTACAGGCAATTAGGAACTTCAACAGAGGAGCTGTGAAAATGAAGCCTGAAAATTAAACTTGATTACTCTCATTAATCTGTGAACAGAGTAGGAAAAGCAACATGGGAGCAATGAACCCAATCCCTTCCTATTCCTGTTCCTATTCCTGTTTTCCGATCCCAACAGGTCTGGAAGGTGAATAATGAATAAGTTCTGTAATTCAGTTCTCATTTCTTTGTACCTTGATGTAAACATGAAGCTGTTCCTTGCTACCAAATCAAGGTGTTCATTCAAGTGCTCAACCAACCTTTTGCTCCTGAATTATTTAAAATATAAAACCTGTTTCTTTGCAAACATGAAACACAAACCCTGGTCCTTCCTCTCCAGTGCAGGGAGCAAAGAGTCATGAGTGGATTACAGGGAACATCCACAATATTCCACTGTGTGTTTTGAGAATGAAATGGATCCAACTGCAAGGCAGGAACCCACGTGACCAACTTGTGCTCATCTCCACTACACAGTTTTTTACTCAGCTTAATGAATGAGGTTACTTAAAATAATTCTTAAAATAAATAAAAAAAGCTTTGAACACCCATGAAAAAAACCATTTTCCGCTTGTGAATAAATTAGAATCTCATTAACTGCTCCTGGGTTATTCCAGGACAGGGAAGAAGCTGATGGCTCCTGGGCCAGGTCCTGATGGAGCTCCAAATCCCTCCAGATTTCCCTTCCTCCTCCATTCCAGAGCTCTGGTGCCCAAATCCTGAGGGATGGCACATCCCCAGGGCCTCCCCCTACCCACCCACAGAGCCCCTGGACACACATGGACACAGCACAGAGGGAAAAGCAGGAATAACAAATACTTAGCAGGGAGCAACCTACAGAAGAGCTTGATGGGCCCATCTTAGCAGGAGGCAGAGAGAAGAGAGAAAACAGCGTTAGTGATGGGCAGAGAAGCAACTCTTGTTATTCCCCCGACTCCCCTCACACCCAGGAGGCTCCTGCCCTAAAAACCCTCCTTCCTGAGGAGCCACTGCATCAGGAAAAGGCCCTTCCACTCCCATTCCCAATCCTAACCCACCGAAGGACAGGATTTCCAGCTCCCCTGGCTCTGGCATCTCACCCAGATGTGAGTGAGGAGCTGGGCCAGGAGCGCTTGGCCACTGCTCCCATCCCAAATTAACACCAGGGATGTTGGGATAAGGCACCTCCTGTGCCCCCTGCAGCCCCCCCAGGGCCACATCCAGCACCCCTTTCCCATATCCATCCAGAGGGATCAGCCCTCAGCAGGGCTGTGCCTTCTGTGCTTGATTTTTTCCTAATCCCCCCCTGGGATCCTCTTACTTCCAGGATGCTTTTGGCCTTCAGAGGAAGCTTTAAAGGCTGGAATACTTAATCAGATTTTTCTTCTTTAAAAAAAGCTCTTAATTAGAGCTCCTCAGTCTCTTGTTTTTGGGCTCATTATGTGCTCTTGAGGCTTCTGGTGATAGTCAGCATTTACTCACTGCCTGAGACACTTGGCACGTGCCAGAGAGTGACTAAAAACACGCTTAAACAAGGTCTGCAAATTGTCCTGCCTTCCAAAAAATCCCCAAAAGTTTGCCCTATTTTTTTTTTTTTGCACAGACATTTCTGCTCAGAAGAAATCAAACCCCTGAAGCTTCACATCACGTCTCTCTCAAACCCACATTTCGTTTGCTCAAGGCCAAAACTGTGCACGTTTAAAAAGCACTTTTGGCACAGGGTTTTGTTTCACTGGAGAATCCAGCTCTTCCAGACCAAACCAAAGCTGTCAGGCTGATAAATCACAGGATGGTTTGGGTTGGAAGGGACATTAAGGATTATCTCATCCCACCCCCTGCCATGGGACACCTTCCACCAGCCCAGGGTGCTCCAAGCCCCATCCAGCCTGGCCTTGGGCACTTCCACAGATCCACGGGCAGCTTCTCTGGACAGCCTTGGAGAACCTTAAATGCTCTTTTCTCCCATAAACTGCTTGGGATTACATCAGTTGTGGGATTTATCCCCAGAGCTGTGCCCTGACCTCCCATTTGCCCCCGCACCCATGCCCGAGCTTTACCTGCGAGGCCTGAGTTGAAGACCACGGTGGGAGAGGCCGTCCCGGGCAGGGGGGGAGCTGAGGGAGGGGGTGGTGGGGGCAGTGGAGCTGCTGGAGTCGTGTCCAGAGCCGGCCCTGGCAGAGGAGGAGGAGGAGGAGGCGGTGGGGGAGGCGGCGGGGGCGGAGGGGGAGGCGGCATCGGCACCGACACGGGGCCATTGGGCACTGTGGGGTTAAGGGAGAGCCAGGAGTTACCATGGACATGGACTGGGGTATCACAGGCACAGGGAGAAACAGTCACAACAGCCCCTTATCCCCCCCACATCCCTGTCCAACATCCTCTCATCCCCCCCACATCCCTGTCCAACATCCCTCATCCCCCACATCCCTGTCCAACAGCCCCTTATCCCCCCCACATCCCCATCCAACATCCCCTTATCCCCCCCAACATCCCTGTCCAACAGCCCCTCATCCCTGTCCAACATCCCCCCATCCTCCCCTCTCCACCCACCCAAGCTGGTTGGACCCTTCACTGAAGTCCTCTGCTGCATCAGCACAGGAGGAACTCCCCCTAATGAAGAAGATTCCAACTCCTCCATCCCGTGAAGGGCTCAGCACTGGATCACACAACCAGTGGATCCCCCAAGCTCCTCACCTGCCTCAGGAGTCCCTGCCATGGCAGGTAAGGGCGGTGGAGGGGGTGGCAATGGCACTGAGGATGCAGCTCCGGGTGTGCCAGGCGTCCCTGACACCTCTGACCCTGCTGGCACCATCCCAGAGGCCAGAGCCACGGGAAGGATGGAGATGTCCCCATCCCCTTTCTTCTGGATCTTGATGGTTCCCTGCTTCTCCAGCTCGTGGATCTTCTTCTCCAGCGTGGACTGGCGCTGGATGGCTTCTTCCTTCTCCTTCACCATCTTCCTCAGGGTGTGAACTTGGGTATTGGCATCTTTGTAGATCTCCTGGAACGACACAGAAATGTGGACTTTGCACTCAGAATTCCAGCTCCAGGATCAGAACAGCCTGACCCTGAGCTCTGATCAAACCACCTGTCCCCACTTCGTGTGTTCCCAAGGAACCACCAAGGCTGGCAGAAACCTCCCCTGTGGACACCACCAACACCTGGGGGTGCAGAACTTCTCAGCATCTCCTCCTCCTGCTGCCTCTTGTTCCTTGTGCTGCTCTTTGGCCCCTCATGACAAGGACACGGAGGGGCTGGAGCGAGTGCAGGGAAGGGACCGGAGCTGGGAAGGGGTTGGAGCAGCAGGAGGGGCTGAAGGAGCTGGGGAGGCTCAGGGGGAGAAAAGGAGGCTCAGGGGGGACCTTCTGGCTCTGCAACTCCCTGCACATACCCAGGGCAGATGCCCAGAAGGAACCCCAGAACCCCCCACCCTCTGGGACCTCCAAAAACCCCAAATGGAAAGGCTCCAGCCCTGGGTGATAAGATGCCTTTGTCTCACTCCATCTGCTGCCACACTCACAGTTCCAGGTCCCTTTGAGTGCACACACAAGGAATTCCACTCCAAATCTGTCCCAGCTTCAAATCTGGCAGCCAACAGAAGTCACTGCCCCAGCCCCATCACCTGCCCCAGCCCAGGGGCTCCCTGGAATCCAGGCAGAGCCTCCCCCACCCCACTCACCCGGATCACGTCCAGTTCTTTGTTCCTCTGCATAAGTTGCTTTTCCAGTTCCACAATCTTGGCCATGGCCTCGTTCTCCGTATCCTGGAGCTTTTCAGATAACTATCAATCCAAAGAGGAATAGATTAATTAAGTGGAAAACTGTAGTTTTATCCATCGAAACATCAGGGCACTTGTTGGAGCAGTGGGACAGGATTATTATGGATATTCCACCACACCCTGAGGCCTTCCTTTGGAAATAAAGAGGATTCCTGCCTGAGATGAGGGACATCAAGTGCCCCACTGAAGGTTCCTGTGATGAAGGTCACCCTCAGCCACGACCAGCAGGTGCCTGGGTGGACCATAACTATGAACTGTCCAGATCAGAAAGTCTACCCTGCAATAAAGCACTTAAAGTGTAATTTTTTAAAAATGTAAGGTCTTTCCAACCTCGCTCCCAAGGCTGTGGCCCTGCACTGGCTGTGCTCCCACCTCCCAGAGCTGAGCCCAAGGTGCCAAGGCGTGGTACTGACGTGAGAAATGTTCTCTTCCAGTTCCTCCACCCTCTCCAGGGCCGCGTTCTTGGTCTCGGCGTCTTCCAGCAAAGCTCCCACGTCGAACACGTTGTCCAGGTAGGCCTGGATCTGCACCTGCAGCTTGTCACTCTCTGTGTGCTTCAGCTTCTGCAAAGCCAAGGGCACAGAGGTGGCACTGGGAACTGGCAGCGGGCTGGGAGAGCAGGGGGAGCTCAGGCCACCTCCACCACCCAGGAAAACACTCGAGCTCTGATGTTATCTGGGGTCATAAGTGATAAACTGTCATTTTTGGAGACCAGAGCTTTCAAATAAAGCCAAGCAGTGCCTTATCTTCTGTTCTGGAGGATATTATGGCTTCCCTGCCATGGCAGGGGGTTGGAACTGGATGGTCTTTAAGGCCTTCCAACCCAAACAATTCTGGCATTCCACGATTTCCTCTGTGGTTTCTTGACAAGGCTCTGAATGGTCCCCAAGGACTGCAGGGCTTGTGCCACCCCCAGGCCCCAAACACACGTGTGGTCGGTGCTGCCATGTCCAAACACACCTTGCAGACCCCAAAACCCCTCCCTCTTGAGTAGATACGAGCAGGGACAAGTCACTCCCCTGCCAACACGAGCACTGTTCTCCTGGGTGTGTTCCCAAGGGCAGGGACAGGGAGAAAAATGGTGCCCAGGGAGGTGGGGCTGCCCCTGGATCCCTGGAAGTGTCCAAGGCCAGGCTGGACAGGCCTTGGAGCAACCTGGAATAGTGAAAGGTGTCCCTGCCTGTGGCAGAGGTGGAACAGGATGGGCTTTAAGGTCCCTTCCAACCCAAACCAGTCTGTGATTCCATGAAAAACTGATAAAGGGAAACAAAAGCAGCTTCCTTCCGAAGCAGAGTTTCCCATGGGGACACCAGGCACCGTCTGGCTGCCAGGGAAAACCCAAAGGAGGGATTTTCCACCCCTGGAGATGGAAGGAGCCCTGGCAGCACCTGAGCCAGGGCCAAGCCAAGGCCAGCAGCCCTGAGGGACGTGGCAGGGCGAGGGCAGCTGTGGTTCATCCTCCCTTTGTTATAAGCACAGCTCCACATTTAGCTCCAGGCTGTAATCCCAGCTGGCTGCAATCCCAGCCCAGTTCCCTCCGGCACAGCCCCGGGACATGGCCCTGGGAGCAGGGACTGGGGGACACCAGCACTGGGGTCAGGGGCCCGAGGGGGCTGGAGGGGCAGTGGCAGAGCTGGGAGGTGTTGGGGGGAGCAGGTTTGGGTTGGACTCACATCCAGGTACTCGTCCAGGCCCAGCTTGGTGAACTCGTACTGCAGGTGCACTCGGAAGTTCATGTCCTCCACGGAGTGCACCACGATGTTGATGAACTGCATGCAGGCCACCTGCAAGGACAGCACAGAGTGACTCCCAGCTGCCCCTCACAGGGGTGGGAACAGGTTCTGCACAGCGGCATCTCCAGGACCACCACCACACTCCCCTTGTGGTTACCACGAGGGGAAAACCACGAGCTGCCATTCTGAAATGGTTTGTTTCCAAGCCAAAGTGCTTGGATTTTGTCTGCTGGGATAGAGGGAAACCCACGAGTTCCAGGAACTGAGTCACGTCTGCGAGCCCACCTTGCCGGTGAGCGGGAACGCTGCCCCGCCGGCTCCCAGGGCCAGAGCACACATCACACCAGCTCTAAAGGAAACAGTGTTGTCCCTGAAACTGCCTGGAAAAGGGAGATCAATCTGGGGGACTGGAACCCCCAGTTCAGGACACGGGACTCGCACAAGCGGCGCTTTGTTGGGTGCCCGAAGCGCGTCCCCAAAGCTGTGGGTCAGGGATCAGATCACTGGATCTGGCATCCACACACATCCCAGCACAGCCAAAGGCAGGCAAATGCTCCTCCTCTCCAAGAAAACCTGTGGAGGGGGAGCAATTGGGGTAGAAACCCCAGAAAGTTTGTCCTTCCCCGGAATGTAAGGCCAGGCCTCGTCCTGCTCTGCACAAGCACCCCCAGTGCTCTCCCAGCTCCCTGGGGATCATCTGTCACCCTCTGAGCTGCCCCAAGAGAGGGTTCACCTCATCCTGGCTGGGTTTCTCAAGGACATAACCCCCTCCTACAAGCAACACTGCAACAAGGGTAACTCCAGCTTGCCAAGGGCCACTGGGATACACCCCAGATCTCTAGGAGGAACCTGAGAAGGCAAAAACTAAAACAACCTGAAAAGCCTCCAGGAGACCCCACATTTCTGGATCACCAGCTGGGTGCTGGAACGTGGCCAGTTCCCTGTGGTCTGTTCCAGGCCCACAGGACAAAGCTGAGGGGACAGATGTGCCGTGTGTGGCCCCTGATCCCAGGGCTGGTCAGCCTGTCCCGAGCTGCTCCTTCCAGCTGCAGCTCCCACAGATCCCTGAGGTGCCATAAAACCTTCCCAGCTGAACTGTCCCCTCTTTGGAGGAGCTGGGACCACAGGGACACCACAAAGGCACTCAACAGCTCCATCTTCCCTGGTAGGCCCTGACCAGCTTGGAGCACTCTGTGTTCAAAATCACTTCAGTAAGGCTGAGAGACTGCTAAGAGGGACAAACCCAAGGAGCAAAGGAAGGAGGATGGTCTAAAAACTCATCCAGGAGCTCCTGGGATGGACCATCCCAGCCCTTGGTGTGTTCCCATCTCCTACATGAACAGCTCCATCCATGCTCCTGGAAACCTAAACCCAGGTTCCAATCCGTGCTCCTGGAAACCTGAGGGTTCAAGTCTTTCCAGGACCCTCTCCAGTTGCTGTGGTGAACCCTGGTTCCTCCCAGTGCTGCTCCCAGCCTTCTCCAGCTGATCCCTGCCATCCTGTGCCTCCCCCAGAGCCAAACTCCCCTATTCCAAGGGTGCCTTTCTGATCCTTGCTGTGGCTCTCGCAACATCGGGGCCAAATTCTCATTTCCTTTCCCAAATCCTTACATACAAACTAAGGAATTTCTCCTCCAGCTCCAGCCTTGTCCTGCACTCCAGCCCGTGGCCAGCAGCCCAGACATGCAGATTTTCTTAATGTCTGGGCAAGTCCTAAAAAAACATATTCATCCTTTTTCAAGCAAATCTCAATGCAATCTTCAACCTAGGAGAGGAGGAGGGAATTTTCTTCCAGGCTGCTCACATGGATGTTGAATATTCCAGGCTTGTATGGACATTCCCATGCAGATTCCCTGTTATATCCTTACAATACATCATTTAACATCTTAAATAAAGGTGATGATGATGGGACAAGAGGAAATGGTCTCAAGTTGCTCCAGGGGAGGTTTAGGTTGGATTTAAGGGAAATTTTCTCCATGGAAAGGTTTGTCCAGCCCTGGCACAGCTGCCCAGGGCAGTGGTGAGTCCCCATCCCTGGAGGGATTTCAAAGCCATGTGGATGTGGCACTTGGGGACAGGGACCAGTGGTGGCCTTGGCAGTACTGGGGGAATGGTCTGAGAGGGCTTTTCCAACCCAGATGGTTCTGGGATTCTCTAATGAATGATTTCTTTCCCTAAAAAGTGGACAAACCCCACAGTTCCAGCGAGGTGGCTCAGGCTGCTTCCAGGCTGCTTCACTCCCTCTCCCCAAATTCCATTATCCCTCCCAGTGAGCATGGAAAAAATGATTGAGAGTTGGGATTTGAGGACTGAGAAACCTTTCTGTTAAATTACAGACTAACTAGTCCACGTATTCTGTGCCTACCAACGTGTCCTCACAGGGGCACCGATGCAGGAACAAGGAACAAACCCAACCCAACACGTCAGAGTTACTGAGAGCAGCTGTTCAGTTGAGTTAAAATGCAGGGATCACTCTAATTTTCTCTTCTTAAACCCAAGAAATCTGCCATCCTGGCTCAAACTCACCCCACCTCCTTCTTATCCTGCTGTTCCCCTGGAAGCCACTGGCACAGAGCACTCAAAGCCTGCAGGAGACACCCCAGCGGGTGCTCTGCCACCTAATTCTTGGCAGAAAAAGGACCTTCAACACAAAGCTCGGCACTAAAATGGTTTAAAGCCTCACAGATGGTTCACAGAGGCCTCAGAAAATCAGCTGGGGTGGGAATTCCTCCTGCTCTGCTCCCACCTTGGTCCAGGCCCACACGGGATCCGAGCCCCTGAGCAGGAGCAGTGCAAGGGAGATCTTCCCTAATTAAATACACGGCTTTAACTTCCCCCATTTCTGACACAAAAAACCCAGACCCAGGGGTATTTTTGGACGCAGACACATCCTCCCTGCCACAGCCTCCCACGTGATGCCAACGTGCTGGTGCCTGTGCCAGCCAGAGCTTGCCCTCTCCCTGCCCCCTCCCCGTGCTCCGGGGGCAGTGGGTTTGGTGAACAGCTCATGCAGATGCACGCTGAGGAACCCCAAGTGGTGCAAGCCACCGCTATATTTATCTGCAGATAAGGACAGCCAGCAGCTGCAGGGAGCCTCTCCCACACTTCCCTGTCTGGGGCTGCCAGGATTTTGGCACAGGGACAGCACTGGACGTTGCAGAAGCTGCTGTGAGAGAGCACGAAGGGCCCCTTCCCTCTTACCTTCACTGGGGCAACAAGGCACTTCTGGAGCAAAAGTGAAGGGGCAGCTAAAAATGAAACGCATTTGGAACGTGAATAATTGGGCTGGGGCATTTTAGGCCCGGGATGAGGAGGCAGACACAGCTCAGGCACAGGAAACTCTGCAATGAGGAGCTGCTGAGGGTCAGTGCCACTCACCATGAAGTCTATGTTGTTGTCCTCGTTTCTGAAGTGCTCCATGAGCTTCTCGAAGCGCTGCTTCTCCCCACACACCTACAAAACAAGCACCACACCTTTGGTCAGCCACAAAAAAAACCCATGGAAAATGCAGATTTTCTGCTCGTTCAAAACCTCTTTGTCCAGGTTGGAGATGCTCTTCATCAAAAAAATCCAGCTGAATAATTCTCTGTCAACACCTGCAGTGCGAGTCTAAGGACTCAGGTACAATTATTATACAGATACAATTATAAAACAGCTCTTTGTGGATCTTTCCCCCCCACAAAGTTTCATCATTCTGAGTGTAAGAGTTGCACCAGGCCACGCCACAAGGAAGGCTCAGCCCCCCTCCTGGCTCTGCACTGTAATATCATGTAATTAGGAAGAAAAGCAAATTACAGGGAGGACATAGGGAAAATTATGCCTGGCTAAACAAGGAGTGAAAATACATCAGTGTAACAATCAGGGTTCCAGAGCTGTAGCACGGGCTGCTGCCAGGAAACAAAAGCAACTTGGGGGAGAGAGAAGATCTGAGATAAAGCAGCTCTCAGGATATCCTTGAATCTTAATATTGCCAGTAGCTTCTCTGGCTCAGTCCTGCCTTTCTCAGCACACAAAAGACCTGGAGTAATCCCCAAAAAGCCACAAAATAGTAAATAAGTTGGGAAGGACACTTCCCATCCCTGGCAGTGTTCAAGGAGCACCCTGGTTTAATGGAAGGTGTCCCTGCCCATGGCAGGAGGTTTAAGCTTCCCTGTTTTCAGAGGGGCAGAAGAAGCCCTGAAAGAAGCTGTTTTCCTCTTAAAGGTTTGGAAAACAGATTGCAATCACCTGGAGGACTGAAAGTTCCCTTCTGCTGAGGATCAAAACCCTTGGTGAGCCCTGGGCTTGCTGAAGTTGTGTTTCAGTGTTTCCAGCTGAACCTTGAGGCCTCAGCAGGTAAAACAAACCCTCAAGCAACAAAGCACAAACCTCAAGAGAAAGATATTGTATCTGTTGCTCAAGCAGAATTATCCTGATTTTAAACCCAAAGGACTCATCTCTCCCTGCAGCCCGTGGCATGAAAGTGAAGCATCAAACACTTTTCCATGGGCTGCTCCACTAAAACCCAAAACCCCACACACTGAGGTCTAAAACAGAGCAAAGCAGACCCACTGTGGGATGGAGGAAGACTCTGGTGAAGCACAAATGACCTGTCTGATGGGATCCCACGGAAAGGATGGGGGGAGTTTGGAGAGCACCACCCTTCTGGTTGTAAATCTCCAGTCTAATCTCAGGCCTTTGTTCAGGAGCAATCCTTGGAAAGCCTCCCTGCAGCATCAGGAATGGCCCTGCTGGCAGATCAAAGCCCAAACCTCCCCACACAGCTCACTGATGGTCAGAGCAGCTCCAAGCAAAACCCAGGGCAAGGGATGTGGCTGTTTCAGGATGCCCCTGGCAGCGCAGGGATCAAAGGCAGCAGCTGCCCCAATGATATCATTTGATTTGGGAGGCGTGGGCTGGGCTGGATCCAACCCCTGCTCCAAGCAAAGCCCAGGAACCCTCTCCTTCATCACTCCTTGATTGCACTGTTTTATATCCCACACAATTTTTCCCTGCTGGAGGAAAATCTGGAGCGAGCTGGGCTGGTGGAAGGTGTCCCTGCCCATGGCAGGGGGTGGAATGAGATGGGCTTTTAGGTCCCTTGCAACCCACAACCAGCCTGGGATTCCACAATTTCTCTTGTACCCACGTCACAAAAAATGGAGCTGATTTAACCAAAACCCTGGATGGTGGAACCAAACAGAGCAGTGGTGCACATGATCCCTCACCAACAAAGCCAGAAGGACTGATTTCTGGGAAATCCAATGCAAACCATTCCACAGGGATGAGAAAAGCTGACACAAACAACTCCCAGCCATTTAGGGCTGACTAATTAAACGAGGAGCAGCCCAGAGTGCCCTGGCAGAGCAGATCCCGGGATAGAGCAGCCCTGGCTGGCTGGGATACAGCAGCTGGGGAAGAGGAAAAGCAACAACCACCCATGGTGGCTGCTCCCAGATAGCTCCCCCTACGCTGGGATGAGCCAGGGCTGGGCCGGGTGCGTTTGAGGAGGCAGCAAAACTGACTTTCCCCAAATGATATAATTTTTATCCTGGAAGATTAAAGAGAGGGAAACCGGGGCTGGAGCCTCCAGCCTGAAGGCTGGCCCGGAGCCAAGGAGAATGCTGAAATCAAATCCCACCACATAAAACCATATGTTGCCATTTCCATCGGAATAAATTCGCGAGGCCTGTCATTTGGAAGCACGGCTGGGCCGAGGAGAGGCAGAGCTTTCCTTTATTGGCTTGACTCTGGGTAAGAAGCAAGATTAAACGAGTTACCACAGCTATAAAAACCCTCTGTCTCTGCTCGGGCTGTGAAAAAAACCCACTTTAGGTCGCATTAAGCCCACGTCATTCTGGAAGAACAATGGGGCTTTATGGAAAGCCACCCACGGAGGGTCCTTTCTCCGGGTGCTAACGGAGGAAATCCAGCGAGGATCGGTTACAAAGCTACAACACAATCCTGTAAGGAAGCAAAAGGATCTGCTTTGAAAAGTTTAGTGAGGATTGCATCCATATCCACCTGGCAGTGGTCACACAGTTCCCATCCAGACCACCCAAGAGCAAAGCTCAACCACGACAACCCTCGCGCCGTTCCCGCTCTCGGGGCCGGATCACTGGAAGATGCTCCGGAATCACGGAATGGTTTGAGGGGGAAAGGACCTCAAAGCCCATCCCATTCCATCCCCTGCCATGGGCAGGGACACCTTCCACCAGCCCAGGCTGCTCCAAGCCCTGTCCAACCTGGCCTGGGACACCTCCAGGGATGGGGATTCCACAGCCTCTCCAGGCACCTGGAACAGCAGCCTGGGCAGGGAGCAGCAGGCAAGGGGATTTGGGAAAACTGAAGATGTTTTCTAGTGCAGTGTCAGGCAGAAGGTGAAACCCCACGCTGCTGGAAGCACATCCATCACCCTCCCACCTCAGACACTCAGGTAACAACACCACCCCAGTTTGCTGGAGAATGGAGCTTGGAACTGAACATCACCACAAGCAGATCCAGCGTGTTCCATATGGAGAGGGCAGCGAATCCAGGCAGGAGTTATGAGACACAGACTATGAACTCCTGCACATCTGGAGGACGGTCCCGGTGACAGGACAAGGGGGAATGGCTTCAAACCAAAGGAGGGCAGGGCTAGATGGGATATTGGGAAGGAATTGCTGGCTGGGAGGGTGGGCAGGCCCTGGCACAGGTTGCCCAGAGAAGCTGTGGCTGCCCCTGGATCCCTGGGAGTGTCCAAGGCCAGGTTGGATGGGGCTTGGAGTACCCTGGGCTAGTGGAAGGTGTCCCTGCCCATGGCATGGGATGGGATGAGATGAGTTTTAAGGTCCCTTTCAATCAGGAAACACCTGGTGGTCCCAAACTCCAGGCAGAAAATGAAACCCTCTGGTTGCAGTTCCCCTCAAGCTGAACTCAGCACCCCAAGGCAGGAAAACAACCCTCTGAGGTAGCAAATTTAAAACACCTAAACTGTAGGAGAGGCTTTGCAATACAAGACATGTTCTGTCAGTGCCAACGTTAAAATGACCCCCCCAAAGGTCGTTTTAAGCTTCTCCTCCTCCTTCAGTAACTCCCAGAGTGAGAGGCAGAGCAAAGGCAGAGCGTGCAGATGAACCCAGCCCATACTGGGTGTGCTGTCACACTCAGCCTGATGGATCTGCAGCCCCAAAATCCCTGGGAGCTTCTGTGCCCCCTTGTCCTGCCTGTGCCCCTTTGTCCAGCAGCACAATGCTGGCTTTCTGTCCCCCACAAGAGCCCAGTGTGAGCAGCAGCTCCCACCGCCGGCCCACGACACTCCACAGGGACACTTTGTTTGCCCTCCCCGTGCTGACGTCCCTGCACTTTGCTGGAGGACAAAAAAATCCCTTTTCCCGGAAGTTTCTGGTTAAGCAAACAGTTATTTAATGCTTTACTAGGTTAAAATACCTTTTACTTCTCCACAGCAGGGTTAAGTCACTCTCAAAAGCCAACAAACAACAACTGCATTTACATTTTCCAGCACTTGCAAAGAGCTTCTCCCAGCACGAGTTACTCTGCTGGTGGGTGCACAAGGATAACTCAGAAGTGCTGTTTGCAGTGCTGCCATTCATTATTCCAACAGGGATATCTGACTCTGGATTAAGCCCTCTCAACAATCTTGGCTCCCTTAAGCATTGTGAAAGCTGATGGAGGGGTATGATGGGGTTTGTTTGCAGGGCCCCCACCTTCCAGCTCCCTGCCCGATTCCCAAGCATCCAAAGACCTCTGAGGGCTCAGAATTCATGGCCATAACCAGGTGATGTGTGAGAGGACTGAGATTCTCCTCATCTGCCAGACATTCAAGAGCAGCAAATGTCCAGAGAAGCTGGGGCTGCCCCATCCCTGGAAGTGTCCAGGGTGCTCCAAGCCCCGTCCAACCTGGCCTTGGACACTCCCAGGGATCCAGGGGCAGCCACAGCTTCTCTGGGCAACCTGTGCCAGGGCCTGCCCACCCTCATAGGGAAGAAATTCTCCCAGATATCCAACCTAAATCTCCCATCTTTCAGTTTGAGCCCATTCCCTGTGTCCTGTCACTGCCAGTTCCTGATGACCAGTCCCTCTCTGTATTCCTTGTGGGCCCTTCCACTCCGAGGTCTCCACACAAATTCCATTTTCAGCTGAAAAATCTCCCTTGACAAGAACCAAACCCTGCTCTCATTTCCATCAGAGCAAAGCTCAAAGCCCAATGAAACATCTGATGTTCCCCCTGATGGAAACGAGGGCAGAGTTTGGTGCTAAATATCCTGTTTTCCCTCCTGACTTTATTAGATTTTATTAGGCAGGAGTTCAGCTTTCTTTTGAAGCTGTTTCATGGCAAGGAGATGGAGTGGCAGAGATCTAATTCAACGAGTCAAATCTGTCCTAAATATGCATGAAAGCACCGTGGCAGCCCTGAAATGCAGAGCTGCAGCAGCCACACGAAGATTATGGAGCTCACAGCAATTTAAATTGGATGTGCAGGGCTGGAAACCCAAGCCTGGGTGCTTGACTTGTCAGCAACTCGAGGGGTTTGGAACATAAAAGTGAAAACTTGAAACCATTCCCAAAAACTTGCCCAGGAGGAAGGTGGAGAACAACGACACAGAGCAAGAAATAAGCAGCATAGTTGGGTGAAAAGAGCAGCTCAAGGCAGAACTGAGACAGGGGGAGAGCATCCAAAAGCAGAACTGAGGAAGAAAAGAGCATCCAAAAGCAGAACTGAGGAAGGTAAATCCCCTCCCTGACCTCACTTCATCTGCAACACCCGGACAGTTCCACCACCACTTGCTCAAACCCCACAGGAACGGAATAAATAACTGATTCCACACAAACTGAATGGTTTCCACAGAAATGTTTGTGTCAGCAGGAGATGACAGAGCACCTGGAAGGTCATGAAGGAGCAAAACCTTGACTGAGGATGTCAGGAAGGTAAGAAAGTGCCTAGGGTTTCCATATCCTTCCCTGGGAGGTGTCCAATGAGCACCACAGGCCATCCCATCCAGTGGGATTTGGCTGCAGCCACTGTTCATCCCCAATCCCTCACACTTGTCCTCCCTGTTGAGCCCTGTTTCTTCCACAGCAGAGTAGGAAAACCCAGGAGAATTTAACCCTGGACTACCAGCGTTGTGATCTGCACATTTACAGAGCTTTTCCCACTGAGAGCCCTCCTCTCAAGCTGTTCTTCCCAACAACCCCCTGCATTTTCCTCCTGATCCCGTGGGTTCCCAAAGGTGCAGACAAAGTCATGCCACGACACAGACCAACCAATGGAAGACCCAAACCACAATTCCCAGTTTTTGCCTGCACTGGAGCTCTCCAGACCCTTCCCCAATTCCCGTTTTCTGAGCGTCCCTCCCGCCGGTGTCACCCCAAGCAAGGCTCTCTCCGTGGTCTCACACTTCCCAACCCAAGTTCCCCTTCCCAGCCGTGCTGTTCCCATTCCCTCTGCCCTCAGTTCAACCTTCCCACAGCCAGGGCAGGTCTGCACCTGCACCCAGCTGAGCTTTCTACGACAGCCCCACCCTGGAGGTCGCTCACACCTTTGGCTCTGGATGATGTTGAGCACCTCCAAAATCCCCTCATTTACCCACAACATCCAAATCCTTCCGAGGTCAGAAGTTATTCCCCAAACATGAAACATTAAAAAATTACCCACTTGGCTCCTTGATCATCTGCATTAACCCACTTACAGCTTCAAGGAAACACAGCCTGTGTGTTTGTATGTCCAGTTGGGACTCATCAAATCCAACAGTTCTGGAGCTGGGGAGTCTAATTTATTCATTTTTAATTTGATATTAACCCCACACATATATCCAATATCCAAAGGAAACTAACACAGCAGCTTTCTAGGACTTGCTTCCCCCACACCAGTGCTTCCAAACATTCACACAGGTATTCCCAAATCCTTTCACCCACTGTGTGCAAACCTGAAAACACACCCATAAATGACACCTGAGCCAAGTGGAACTCCTGGATGAATTCCAGCAGTCGCTGTGATTGACACAGACTTGATTCTGTAATTTCTACACAAACAAAGTTCCCTCTGAGGGTAAATCCAGGAACTTGGTGTCTCAAGGGCGTGTGGAAATGGCTTTGGAAATGGGAGATCTGACACAGCATTCCTGGTTGTTTCAGAGACAAGCTTCCAAAATGTCCCAAAATGATGGGACACCATTTGACTGGGCAAAGGGAGCTCAAATTCCCAGCCTGGATTCACCTCGTTGGAATTACAGACATGAAAATGATGGGATGGTCACCACTGAGCTGCTCTGCAGCTCCAAGGAAAACCTGTGGTTCATGGCAAATCCTGACTCAAGGGAATTCAGCTGGATGAGAAGGCTCCAGGCAGTCACAAGAGAGGGAATAACACCCAAATGACATGAATGAGGCCAAGGTACCTCCTTGAAGTTGTCAAAGGCTGACAAGATGATCTCGTGTCCCCCCGGACGAGGCAAACGGCTGCCAGGAGTTCCAGCACAAGGGCCTTTGTCCTGTGGAGAGAGGAGAAGGAGACACTCAGTGACCAGCACCTGCTTCCAAACCCGTGGGAGAACGTGGGAGAGGGAGCTTCATGCCCTGTGTTTTTAACCCCTTTGAGTTAATAAACCTGGGAGGTGCACAGTGCTGAGCACCCCTGATCCAGGGAATGTGGCCTCTCCCGGGATCATGCACTCCTCCCCCAGAACATGCAGGGACTGAAACCACAACTGGGAAACTCGAGCAAAAAAAAGTCATTGCAGAACTCTGGGAAAGGCAGATCCCTGACAGCTCCTGCTCCCGGAGAACTGCCCTGCACACCCCTGGGAGAGGCAGTGCCCACCTCCAGCTGGCCCCTCCTGAGCCCACTTCTTAAGGGGAACACTTATAACTCCAATCTGCATCTTTCCTGGTACAAATCTGAATATTCTCTGTCATAATCTATGTTATTCAGAGCCACCCCCCCCACACACAGAGTTCACTGCAGGAACACAGGATGCCTCAGCACGTCCTCCTCCTGAGGAATCAGAAATCAATCTGCCACAGAGAGAAAACACCAGATCACTGGGAGAAAACCATGCAGCAAAACTGGGTGTTACCCTAAGGAAAATAATCCACAGTATTTCCTTACAGGATTCGTGGAAAGCAAAAGATTTCCTGGCCAGCTGAGCTCTGAGCAGAGCAAAACCATGCAGACACATAAGGTTAGTCTCATGCCAAAGCAGTGCCTCAAACCAGATGTTACAGAACAAGAAATACCTTTTGGCTTTCAAAGGGTCAGGGTTATCTTTGGGAACCACATAAAATGTTCACTTCCCTAGGAAATTTTAAACGGGTCATGTTCAAGTCTTACTCGTCGAGGGGGGTTTGTTCAGATGGGGTCAAGGAGCTCTTGTGTGGATCTTCAGGAATATCCCGTCCCAGGGTGGGTTAGGAGGGGCTGTGGGGGTGGGCAGAGGGGATCTCTGGGATCAGAGGGATCCTCAGGTGCTCCCCACACATCTGGGATGGGGACAGGGAGAGGACAGTTCTGGCCACATCTGTGGGATCTATTTGGGAAGAACCAGAGGAGATGGAGTCCCCACAGTCCCCCTCCACCTGCTGCCCACTCAGCTCCACAGGGGGAATGGGATCAGCTCCACATCCCATTCCCAGAGCTGCTGCTTCCCTTTGGCACATCTCACCCACCCTAAGCACTCAAACCTCTGGGGGCAAACACAGCCTGGGGTTTGGAACAGCACTCACATCCACTTTGGTCCTCAGATTATTGCAGTCACATTTTAAAGCAGTGATTTTACAGACAGAGATGGAAATAACCCACTTGTTTCAAAACTGAAAACATGGGATGTCCCTCGACCACCTGAGTCCCAGGCACAAGAGTGATAAAAATAATAAACTTCCCATGTCCTTCCTATTTATCTGTGCATGTATTTGCTGACTCAGGGCTGAATAAGAGAAAGGAAGGAAGTTCCTGTTTCCACCAGGACAAGGTTTGTGCTCTGTCAGAGCAGAGCCCACCCCGAGCCCTGTAAACACACACACAGTTTTGTTTTAGTCATCTCACCCCCCAGTTTTACCTTGCCTTGGAAAAATGCCTGTGCCAGGTTTGGTTTTGTTAGACAAGGAAAGAGGAGAACTCCAGGGTCTGCTGGAAGTGGCTGCTGGGATCACAGGCATGGGAGAGGAGGGACATGGATTCACAGCCAGCAGTTCCACTGGGGAATTACATGATGGAATTACAGCAACCTGACCCAGGACAGGACTGAGACTCTCCCAAGGAAATTCAAACCTAAGGATCCTTGGATAGCATTTCTAAGGAAGATCTTCCCTCTCTTCAGGAAAACCCCACGTAGAGCTGAGGGGCTTCAGCAGCTGAATTTGAGCTGGATCACAGAATCCCAGACTGGTTTGGGGTGGAAAGGACCTTAAAGCTCATTCATCCCACAGCCTGCCATGGGCAGGGTCACCTTCCACTAGTCCCAGGTCGCTCCAAGCCCCATCCAGCCTGGCCTTGGACACTTCCAGGGATTCAGGGACAGCCACAGCTTCTCTGCCCAGCCTGTGCCAGGGCCTGCCCCACCCTCCCAGGGAAGAATTTCTCCCCAATATCCAACCCCAATTTCCCTCCTGTCAGTTCAAAGCTGCAGAACCAGCAGCTCCTGAACCCACTGGAATCAGACGACGACTGCTCCTCTACCTGCACCATTGTACAGATTTAATCTGATTTTCGCCACAGGTTTGTGCACAAACACACCCTTTTGAAGGTGAAAACCCCCTTCCTGGGTCCTCTTTACTTACCTACTTGCCAAACTGTCAAAAAGCAGGTGCACCTACCTGGGGTTCTTGTTGTTCAGACTCAGTGCAATCTCATTGACGGCGTGGGGGTGGGACATGACCATGTTGAATCCGTACTGGGGAGAGAAGGGAAAGTCCTCCTTCAGTCCTGACACCCACATTGTTACTCAGAAACCCAACAAATCCCATCTGCCTGACCAGACCCCCTGGCAGTTTTTTAAGCCAAACAAAACCTCGTGGAGTTTACTGGTTAAACCGAGAATATTTTGTTCTCCTGACTGTTCCTAAAATCTCCCAACTCTGGGTATTCCATGATCCTACAATTCCCTGCCACTGGCAGTGTTGAAAATACTTGTTTTGGCTGTGTGAGCCAACAAAAGGGGTCCAAGAGCTGCTCCTACATTATTTCCACCCCCTCTGCTTGTCCTTGTCTCCCTCCAGCCCCTTTTTAATTGTGGCAGTCGAGTGCATGATTTACTCCCCAAAGAGGAACTTGAAGTTCAGCTGCCAAAAGCAGCTGTTGCTCTCCAAAAATGAAAACAGAATTCCTTTGGAAAATACTCCACTGGTTATTAGGATCGTGGCTTGTCTCCTTCCCACCCCTGTAAATCCCAGGGAGCTGGTATCCCCCCGAGCAGAGGGGGTTACAGATACCTCCTACCCTCCTCATGAACTCCTAAGAAAGGTGTTCCCCACAGGCCCTCCTTGTTTTAGCAAAAAAATCCCAAATCCTTGAAGCTCCCTGGATAAGCTGCATGATCCCAGCATCCCACTGAAGAGAAAAAACACCTCAGGAAAATCAGATTTAGCTTTGGTTTAGTTGGTTCACTTCCAGGTGTCCCACTGCCTTGTCATAAACACTTACTGAGGGGAAACCGGGATCTTTCCATCTTCTGAAAAAAAAAAAAAACCCTCCTGTTTTCAAGGGCTAAATACTGAGACTAATTATAACCTGATTAGCTGCAGGTTTGAGTAGTTAGTGCCCACTGAGCACATCAACACCTGCAACAAATCACCTGTGTCCTGTTGCTCCCCATTTTAATAATGAGAGTGTAAACAGTTCCATCGCTTTCACCTTCAGAATTCACCCCTAACTCTTCCTCCCCCTCCACCCCCAAGGCTGAAATAGCTCTGTGGTGCCAAGAGGGAGTCACCTGGTAGTTCATTATGGCCCGCAGGCACATGATGCAGACGTGAACATCGTCCTTTTTGCTCACTAATCGGGAGTTTTTGAGCGTCCTCCGGCTCGGCAGGGTGTTGTACCTGCAGGGAGAAACAGCTCCCATCAGCCACACTGCTGCTTCTGGGGGGTCAGGAGAAAGGAAGAGAAGTACCAGAAGAAAGGAAGGTGTTTCTCAGGTGGACAGGGGGCAATGCTGATGGAAATAAAGCAGGAGAAGGGGCTGGGATGTTCACAGGAAAAATCCAGATGTTGGGCTCCAGGGAGCAGGAGCTGCAGTGCCAGTGCAGGGGTCAGTAAATGTTCATAATAAAGACATGAACAAGTAACACCACACCGAGCTATCATGATTCACTGTCAGCCTCTGACACAAACACCTCCAAATTCCCTCCCTTCAAACGTCCAAGCCAAGAGGAATGAGGGGGGTCGTGGAGCCCTGCCCATGGAGAGCCCTCAGCCCTCAGCAACTCCTCCCCTTGGCTTTCATTTTCCAGCAGTGCCAAGATGAAAGAAATCCCAAAATTCAAAGCAGGATTCAATCAAACGACTTCCCCCCTCCCCCCATAAATATGAATGAATAAATGAGCTCAGGGCACTGCAGGCGGATTTGGGGGCTGGGGGAAGGATGACCCAGTTCTGGCTGAGAACAGAGGGAGCTTTAAGCTGAATTTTGGCGAGTGGATCCTGAGGAGGGGACCAGGACTGTGCCTTGGAGAGCCAGCACAGGGTGAGGCTGATGGCTCCAAGCTCCTCGGATGGGGGCTCTGCACCTGCACCTGGAAGCTCTGGCTGCTCCTGCTGGGAATGGGGCTGCCAAGGAGCTCCAGCCAGGGCCGTCCCACTGATCCTGCCTCCTTCCCCATGGATCAGCTCACTGCCCACACACACCCTGCACTTCCCAAATGGCCCAAAAGAGGAGCAGAGCAGCCTTGAACTGGGAGTCTGAACTGGGAAGTGTGGAAGTGCTGCCAGTGCTGGCTGGAGAGTGTGGAACCACGCCACACCAGCCCACTTCAGACAGCCATTTCTCCAAGTAAGAAATCATGGCAATGAAAGGATTTTAAAGTCATTTCTAGTCAGAGATTGTCCCTACAACGACTTATCTCAGCTTTAAACCACTAAAGGCTGCAGACATCCTTTTCCTTTAAATTTTCAATCAGCAGATTAATGAGATCTTTATCATGGCTCTGATAGGAGAAAAAACTTCCTCGGTGTACCAGCTCCTAAATTTCAGAATGCCTTTACCCACCTGGCAGTTAAGAAATGGGGGCAGTCAGTGTTGCTTGTCCAGTGACACTCAGAGCCCACAGACTGGGGTGGGATGGAGGGGACCAGAGCGGGTCACAGCTCCAGCAGTGAGATATCCCAGAGATACCCCAGCCTGTTCTGGGATATCTCCAGTGAGGGAGACTCCACACCCTGTGTGGGCAGCCTGTCACCTCCCTGTTCTTCCTCGTGTTCAGGTGGAATTCCTGGCATCACTCTGTGCCCGTTCCCTCTTGTCCTGCTGCCTGGTATCACCACAAAGAGCCTGGCCCCATCCTACTGGCACATTCCCACTCCCACCCGTGTCAGAGTCCCACTGGGGTGAGACCCAGGCACAGGATCTGCCCTGGAGAGCAGATCCCAGCCCTCAGCCCGGATGGGATTGTGCTCTCCATTTCCAGCCCTTCCCCTCACCAGAAGCCAAGAATTAACGGGGAGCTTTTGCACAGCAGCTCCTGAACAACAACCCCCCCACAGCACAGCCAAGGCTGGAGATGCTTCCCCTGCACTGGTGGTGATCCCAACAATTCCCAGTGTTTCTGCTGCCTCCCCAGAGCAGGGCAGGCTGGACGAGCTCCTCCTGCTTTTCCTTCACTCCTGGTTCCTGAGCACTTGGCCGAGCCCAGCATCTGGATGAGTCGTTGGGTTTGATTTCCTGTCTGCTGCAGGTCAAGGATTATGTCACCACGAGTATATTTATCCTGCTAATTCGATTCAGATGGTTCCTCTTTTATTTCCTCGGCCCCTCCTTTAGAGGGGAACATAAACCCTTTTTGTCCCAAAAAAAAGCAGGGGCAGAAAAGCTGAGCCTGTGGAAGCTCCTGCAGTGGATAATGGGTTCCTCCTGCCACTCTGCTCCCTCTCACACGTGGGGAAGGAGCTACTCCAAAGTTTTGGGACTTTGCTGCTGGAGGATGGGGGGAAGAATCCAGGATCCAGGATTTCCACAGCTGGGATTCTGCAGCTGTGTGGGAAAACCAACAGCCATTAAACCCAAGGCTAATCCTGTGCTGAAATACAGAGTTTTAGGGTTCTTTTCTCACCCAGATCTAACAGAAGAACTTTCTGTTCAAGAATAATTAATTCTTTTATCATTTTTATTTCCTTAGGGACATGAAGATGCTCCAGGGTTGGAGCCCCTCTGCTCTGGAGCCAGGCTGGGAGAGCTGGGGGGGGTCACCTGGAGAAGAGAAGGATCCAGGGACACCTGAGAGCCCCTTGCAGGGCCTAAAGGGGCTCCAGGAGAGCTGGAGAGGGACTGGGGACAAGGCATGGAGGGACAGGACACAGGGAATGGCTTCCCACTGCCAGAGGGCAGGGACAGATGGGAGATTGGGAAGGAATTGCTGGCTGGGAGGGTGGGCAGGCCCTGGCCCAGGTTGGGCAGAGAAGCTGTGGCTGCCCCTGGATCCCTGGAAGTGTCCAAGGCCAGGTTGGAGCACCCTGGGACAGTGGAAGGTGTCCCTGCCCATGGCAGGGGGTGGGACTGGATGGGATTTAAGGTCCCTTCCCACCCAGCCCCTCCTGGGATTCCATGACATGTGCCCAGTCCAATGCAGATTTATAATGCACCTCATTAATTCAAATTACAGCCGCTCTCTCCTCTCACTCTTAGCCCATTTTCTGCTAGAAAAGCCCTCATCTCTCCACTGGCTCCCTGGAGAGCAGAGGACAGCCCAGGATGGACGTCCCCACCCCCTGGCAGCTGGCTCCAGCTCTCCACAGGCTGGGACTCCTGGTTTTCCTCGGGATTGGGGGGTTTCTGGGTGACATTCCCATGGTTTGATTGGTGGTGGTTTGGAAACTGGAGGGGATTGTATTATCAACATCCTCCTGACAGCAGAAAGGGGCTTTGGAGGAGGAAGGTTTTGGCACATCCCACAAATTTGGGGTTTCTCTGATCCCTCAGAGCTGATCACAAACACGCTCTGTTCAATCAGGAAATATCTGACCAAAATGATGAGCTTCCCAGGTCCCTGAGCAGTGGAAGTGTTAATGGCAAAGCCCAAATTAAATGATTGTAGCCCATGAAGCCGTGTCAAATTAAAGTCCAGTTACTGAATGCACTCAAGGCCCATTTCTGGATTGAGCTCCCTGTGCCTAGATCCTTCTCTCCTCATGGAGATTTTGAAGAACTGAAGTTTCTCACTTCAATCCACATAAAAACTACTCCAGTATCTGACTGGGAAGAAAGGGAATTTCTAATGGGCTGGGCCCCTGCAAAGGCTGCATTAATATTTATCTGGCAGGAGACTCTGACTCTCAGCAATGCTCCTTCTCCCAAAAAAGCAGCAAGAAAATCCCCAAAGCCTCAGCCCCTTTCTTATCCTCCTGCCCTCGTTTTGGTGCCTGTTTCCCAAATCCCTGTGCCTCCTCTTCAGGAAAAAACCCTCAGTTGCCAAGGAAACCCAGAGAGCAGGGAATTGGCAGGGTTTAGCACTGTTAAAAAGAGCTCTGGGAAGGCCCTTGGAGTCAGGATTGGAGAGGGATGGGCTGAGCCACCAAAGGGACACCCAGAGCTCCGAGTCCACCCCAGGCCAGCTCCAGAATTTGGAATTATCCTGGTAAGGTTTGACAGCCTTCTCCTTTTTCATCCAAGAGGGAGGAGCACATCTTTCAGTCCAGCTGGGCTGCCCCTGGATCCCTGGAAGTGTCCAAGGCCAGGTTGGACGGGGCTTGGAGCAACCTGGGCTGGTGGAAGGTGTCCCTGACCGTGGCAGGGGGTGGAATGGGATGAGCTTTAAGGTCCCTTCCAACCCAAACCATCCTGGGATTCTGGATTCCTCTCTCCCACCTGAATGGTTTCCATGAGAAAGACAGAACAGCAGCTTCCACACAGCAGAACCTACAGCCTGGCTGTCCACACACCCCAGAATCCTCATTTACCACTCAGTGGCTGGGCAGGAACTTCCTGATTTTGCCCAAAACCATTACCCTGCACACCCTCCTCACCTGATGAGCACCTCATTCTCAGGAAAAGATTCCATTTCAATTATTTAGCAATTGCAAGGAAAAAAAAAAAAAACCCTTCTTAAAACCTCCCCACCTTCCTTTAGCTTTTCCTTTTTTAAATACCCATCCTCCCCAGGTATGGAAAAATACACATTTTCAAACCACGCATTTTCAAAACCACACATTTTAAAACACAGAGTTTAAAAAAAAGACAAGAAACCCAACAACAAAGACCAATCCAAACGTGCCAACTCCACGCAGTTCCTGCCTAAGCTGCCCCAGTGCTGAGGTGGCTCTGCAGGGACTCGGCTGGAGAACACGGCGCTAAATCCCATTTCTCTGAACAAAGTCTCTATTTACAACCAGAAGATGCAATAAGATGGCCAATGACTAAAGGCTCTACGTTCCAGGTACAACACTGACAGCACTACTCGCAGCATGACCAAGAGAACTCGGAGCTCGCTGCCCAGCCGGTCCCGCTTCCCGCTCTCCGCGAAAACGCCGCTCTACGGAAGCTGCTACTCTGGGAATTCTATAATGTGATAGCCACACGTCAGGACACCCTGCTGGGACACGACCAGCGCTGTGGATACCACATTATCCGGCATGGGGGGCGGTGCTGGCCCCTGGCTCCATGCCCTGCACAGCCCCGGCTCCGGAGCACCTTCCACTCGGGACTTACGGGATTTTCCGGCCGGGAGCCTCATCGGCAGAGCCCAAAGTGAAGCTGCTCCAGAGGCAGGTGGCTGACCAGCAGCTCTGGCAGCGTTTGAACTCAAGCTGCTCGGGCAGAGAAACCAATCTGATGGTGTGTGAGGGGAGGGGAGGGTGAGAGAGAAGCGTTTTGAGAGGGAGAAGGGAATGAAGGAGACAGAGAGACGGGGAATCAAAGAGGTGAGGAATAAAGGGAGATGTGAGAAAGGAAAAAGGATGGAAGGAAACGAAGAGAAACAATGTAAGAGACATGTAATGTATTCCTGACTCAGGCATTTCTAATCCCAAGCTCTCCTCCCAAAAACAGATGGAACCAGCACAGGGCTCTGCCGTTCCCGTCAGAGCAATTAAGGAGCAGAGAAAACCAAAAACACTCAAAAAAATAATAAATCAATGGCTCAAGTGATTTTGCTGCACTCCAGAGCTTGGATTTCTTTACCAGAGCTGTGCCTGGCTCCTCCTCTCCACTGCCTGAGGGCTGGGAATTCAATTTTCCAGGTACTGCTCTGGAGCCACTCAGGCACTGAGCATCAACCCAAGGGTCAAGGTCACCTGCCTGGCAAAGCAAAACAACCTCTGCTGCAAGGAAAGAGCCAGTTCTCACTGGCTCCTTATTTTTTGGACTCTTCTACACTCACAGGGCTTTGTAGCAACCAAGAAAAAACACCCCAAAGCATCCAGCACTCCAGGTAACGCTGCTGGAGTCTGAGGGAGGTGCCTGGTGTGGTTTAAAGTAGCGGAGCATCCAAGGAATGGGACAGGGTTGACTGTCAACCACTCCTGGGAAGTGATCCTGCCTTTTCCACAAACCCAACAACAGAAACAGGGCAGGATTGGGAAAGGGAGACTCCGTAGCAAAGCGTGGGGTGGTGAGAGAGGGACACAGGTCTGAAGGATGGAAGTGGCCTTTCAAAAAACACAGCGGATCTCGGTGGTGGCAGCGTGGAAGGAATGTGCTGCGGGATGAGATGGGACACAGATGAGAGCCCCAGCCTGGCTGGGCCCACGGAAATCCTGAGGCACGTTTTGGAGAAGAGGAACGGCTTCCCCTGAGCACTGCAAGGGGTGGAAATGCCTCCTCGGGAAGGAGGCAGAGTTATCCCAGCTGCGGAACGCTGCCCCATGGCGCTGGCTGAGCACTGCCCACTCACTCCACCTGACAGCCACACGCTCCCCACGATGCCACAGCCCTGCTGGGAGGGAGGGGAGCTGGAGGGTGCCCCGTGGGAGAAGCCCCCGTGGGCAGGGCCCCGTACCGGAGGGTGGAGTGGCGGCCCGAGCGGGACGTGCTGTTCCCCACCGGGGAGGGCAGGTTGGTGCCCCGGTGCAGGTCCTCGATGGAGCGGCTCCAGGGCTTGGACTTGTCCATGGGGTTCTCCACGCTGTTCTCCAGACTCTCGAAGTCAAACCTGAGGGGAAACAGGAATTCCAGGGCCAGGTTAGACACGAGGGATGCCCAAGTTTCCCCTCCTGTTCAGCAGCTCTGGGTCTGAGGGGATCACAGAGTCACGGGACAAAGCCAGGTTTGACGAGATCAAACGAAAAGCCCTCCAAGACCATCGAGTCCAACTGCTCCACCAGCTGTTCCAAGGTCCCTTCCCACCCAAACCAGTATGGGATTGTGTGATCCAGTGAAATAGTGATGGAAAAGGAGAGGCAAAGACAATGTGGGGCTTGAGGGACACGGCAAAGTCCAGGGAAACGGGATGAGCTCCAGAGGGGAGAAGGAAATCACAGATTCTTTCAGGCTGGAAAAGCCTCCAAGCCCATCAAGCCCAACCATCCCCCAGCACTGCCAAGGCCACCATTAACCATGTCCCCAAGTGCCACATCCACGTGGATTTTACATCCTTCCAGGATCAGCTGGATATATTTTTCTACCTCAACACAAATCCAGCTCTGGCTGCTCTGCTGATGGAACAGCTCTGCCTTGAAGGAAAGAGTGGGAATGCTGGGAGCTCCTCTCATTTCATCTCAACAGTTCAGTTGCCCAAGCACCAGTTTGGTTTCCCCCACCACCTCCCAGCACATGCAATAAGTCACCATCACCACCCCAGACCCTCTGACTGCTGACTCCCTGCCCGTTGTTCTGCTGTTTCAAGCAGGAATTCTTGTTCCCTTTACAGCTTTGGAGGTTATTACTCATGTTTACCGTGTCAGGGGGGAAGAACCCAGCGAGTCACTTGCGTGCATTTGTATAAAATTAGGAAGAGAGTCTCTCCCTAAACACTTCTTTTTGCTCTGCACGGTTTTTTCCAGTTAGTAACATCTTAAACCATATAATTTTCCCTCATTAATTTTTCTGCAACCCCACCAAAAATCCCTTTACTGTGCAATGATATACCATAAATCTGAGGGCAGCTTTGCTAAAAATAGATTATCAGTGTCTTTAACCTAAGGCTTCTTTTTAGACAATTCTATATAAAAAAGTCTGCTACAATAACCCTGAATTAATGTGGGTGTAGTGCCCCATTCCTGGAAGTGTCCAAGGCCTGGCTGGACAGGGCTTGGAGCTGGGCTAGTGGAAGGTGGGCTTTAAGGTCCCTCCCAACCCAAACCAGTCTGGGACGATTCCATGACAATAAATAAATTAATAATATAAATAAATACTTAAAACAGATTCTCTGCTGAAAATCCTTTTGCAGTTCTGTGATATAACAACTCAGGGAAGGTCATTTCCCCACTCTGCTTTCAGAACACGTGCCATGATTCATCACCCACACATAAATGTGACCCCCACTACCCAGATGGCAGGAGGGAACAAATTGGTTTCCAGCCTTCCCCCTGAAATTCCTCCTGCTTTCCTGGAGCACATCTGCAGCCCAGGACACCCCCAGTTCTGCCTGTGAGCAGTGGCTGGGGTGTGGATGTGCCCTTTGAACACAGCAGGAACACAATTCCTTAGGGTTGGGCACCGACTCCAAACCTGTTTCCCAGGGAGCCCCCAGCCTGCCACACATTTGGTTTTGTGCACCCCTGAGAGGATCAGAGGCCAGAGCTAAACATGTGTCAGTACAGCCCTGGAGATTAAAAACCCTCAAGGTTTAAATTTAGACTTGGGGTGAAATAACTCCAGACTCAAGTTACCCTTCTCTCTGCTTTTAGACCCAGAATGATGGAATTATTAAGGCTGGAAAAGGCTTCCAACGTCATTCAGTCCAACCTCTGACCCAACACCACCTTGGCAACCAAACCATGTCCCCAAGTGCCACATCCACTCATTGCTGAGGTGCTGACTCCACCTGGGCAGCCCCTTCCCGTGATGGAATATTCCCTGGTATCCAGCAGCACTGTGCATTCCCAGCCCAGGAAGGTGGTACTCACGTGACTGCATACTGTGCAAAGGACAGGTACTCCACCAGCACATCCAGGCCCTTGTTCTCCTCGTTCAGGAACTCCCTCACCCACCTGTTAAAGAAACACCAGAGCCTTTCAGGGCCTTTGGGAAGGCACTGGAATTCTCAGGTGAGCTGGACAGACCCTCGGCAGGAGAAGCTGCACCTCTGAGCAAAACCTTCATTCTCCCTCAGAGAAAAAAAAAAGCCTTTTAAAAATACCCTTTATTATTCAGAAGACTTTAAAGCAGCCCTTTAAAGGGCTTTACAAATGTACTGAACTCAGGGCTTTTTTGTGATGGTCACCTCCACACACACAAAGTCACAGGGACCTGGCTTAGTTTTGATCCCATCCTGATCTCTAAAAGTCCATAAAAGCCTAGAGGCAGCACAGCAGGAAAAGAATAATCTGATAGATATCCTGGATGTGCACTCAGCAGTAATTTGGCCTTCTCTTTTTAAAAGGTTTTAACCCGTTACAGAGAATTTTGGCCCCTGAGTTTCACAAAATAATTCAGAAAAGTCCATTATCTTCCTAAGATTTGTAAGGTGCCAAGTGAAGTTTGGAATTCCATCCATTTAGGGGCAAAGCCAGCGGGGCAAAAGAGCCTCAGCACAGCCCAGCTCAGCTCTCAACCCCAACCAGGGCAGCAAATCCCCCTGGGAGTGGGGAGGTACCACTGGAATTCCTGGGGATCCAGGGAGGGATATGGAGCCCCAGGCTCCCAGGGTGGGAATTCATCACCTTTGAGCTTTTCTGGTCTTCAGACTTCATGAACTGCACCATGTTACAGGTATTAAACAGTGTGTGTGGGGGGGATATATAAATATATAAATATATAAATATATATTTAGCTCTATTATTATTCTAGACACAACCACGTGCTGAGGATGAGCACAAGTTGACTTCAGTGTCTCCTCAGCCTTCCTAGGGATGTGGGTGAACGTTTCAGGCGAGGATTAAAGCTGAATTATTCTCCTGAGGATGCCCAGCTCTGCTTAACTAAGCCCCGCAGGCTTTACCAATCAGTCAAGTGGTATCACTGCCTGACATGCAGAGAGATGTTTGCTCAAAGACATCCACCAGGAGACGTGACAAAATAAATCTGGGAGCGGAGGCAGCCGAAATTCCTTACCCAATGTGGTTTGTTCTTAAGGAAATTTCCAGTTCTCGCAGCACTTGGGTCGACTCCTGGACTCGTCTTCTGAACTTCTGGAACGGAGGGAGCAGCAAAAATAACAATTAGAGTCGTGGGATGCTGATAAAGAACATCAACATCTCAGACTGGATAATGAAAACAGTTCTCAGCTAAACTGAGAGCAACTCAAAATCCCCAGGAATGCACCAACAACACCCCAGCAGTCAACAAAAACATGCGTGGAGGAATCACTTCTGCTCCCGGGAACGTTCTGGAGCTCCCAGGATTAGGAAAATTAAAAGCCCGTAGATAAATAAACATTTCTTCATGAAACAAGCTCTGGTTTAGCATCAAACTGTCTGTTGAGCTCTAGAGCAGATCCTCCCCTTCCTCTGCAAAACCCGGGGTAGAGAGAGACAACGAGGTCGCCTCCTCTCCCACCTGGAGAAGGATTGATTGTCCTCTTCTCCCCTGCCCATGGGAAAGTGCCACAACAGCTGGATAAATCTGGGCAAATCCTCCTTTTTGAACAGGGAATATGAGAGCCAAAGTGGATGAAGAATGGGAGGGGATTCCTGGTTGGGAGGGTGGGTACAAGGTTGCCCAGAGAAGCTGTGGCTGCCTCCGGATCCCTGGAAGTGTCCAAGGGCAGGTTGGAGCCACCTGGGCTGGTGGAAGGTGTCCCTGTCCCTGGCTCAGACACAGCTTCTCTGCACCTCTTTAATTAGCTCAGAGCACACAGTTGTAATTCCCACAATATAAAACCTTCTCTTCCCAGAAATCAAGGTCAAATATTGATGTTTAAAGAGGTAGATGGGATATGGGCTGGGAGGGCATGGCATGAACAGGCAGCACATTCCCACATGGAACTGTCACGCCCAGCAAGGCCAGGCTGCTCTGCCACCAGGGCAGGGAGCATCAGAGAATCCTGGAATATCCTGAGCTGGAAGGGATCCCCATGGATCATCCAGTCCAAGCCCTGGTCCTGCTCAGACACCCCAACAATCCCCCCCTGTCCCTCAGAGCATCATCCCAACCCTCCTGGAGCTCTGGCAGCCTTGGGGCTGTGCCCACTGCCCTGAGGAGCCTGTTCAGTGCCAACCACCCTCTGGGGGAAGAACCTTTCCCTGAGATCCACCCTGAGCCTGCCCTGGCACAGCTCCAGCCATTCCCTGGGGGCTGTCCCTGTCACCCAGAGCAGGGATTGGAGCTGCCCCTCCTGAGGAAGCTGCAGACCCCCATGAGTCTCCCCTCAGGCTCTTCCAGCTGAACAAACCAAGTGCCCTCAGCCCCTTAATGACCCAATTTGGTGCCTAACGAGCTCCAAGAGCAGCCAAACTGCAGCTGCTTTAAAAAATGTGTCATTTCGACACCTTTTGTATTCCCTGCTCCAAAGATCAGCTCGGCCAAACAGCAACTGTTTTCCCAGGAAGAGCCATTACAACCCCAATTAGGAGCTGAAACAGCACACTTCCAGCAGCCTGGAGCCACCTCCCCTTGGCCACGCTGGGGATCAGAACCAAACCACTGACACCACCTCAATCCCAGCAATAATCCCAGGGAGAGGAGCTCTCCCATCTCCACAGGCACGTCTTTCCATGCCACAGCCCGGGCTCAGGAAAGGCTGCGGGTGACACGGAACAACCCCAACAAAGAGGAACTCAGTGGGGTTATTTTTAGGCCCTTGGGGTTCGTCGTTTGTCATGGGACCCTCGGATGGCACCAGGATAAGAAAGGCCTCAATGTGGGCCCACGGAGCGAAGCCAAACACTCAGCGAACCTCGGAACCCCTCGGGAGGAAAAACACAAAGACCTCGTTCACCCCGTTCTCAAAACAACCCTGAGCAGCCCCAGGCAAATCCAAAGGTTTCCAGCTCAATGGGATCCCACTAAATGGGCTCCTCCTCATGGTCAGAGGAGCCAACAAGAGGAGCACTGTGCCAGGGCACCGGGAAGCACGAGCTGGAGCACAGGGCACTCCATGTCCCTGCTGCCGTCCCAGGGATGCAGCAGCACCTCCAGGGAAGCCCCCTGTCAGGATCTGTGTTTTCCTGCAGGGCTTCCTTCTGGCAGCACAAAGCTGGGATTGTTGAGGACAAGGCAGAGCCAGTCCAAGGCAGGACCTGCTCTGCTGCCTCTTTCTGTTGTTTTCCAGAGGCTCTTCCAGCCATCCCACAGGATGTGAGCTGGTGGCCAACAGGGATAAATCCCAAAGGGTCAGCCGTGGACTTCTACATGGGATGAGGGTTTACTGAGGGTCTAAAATCCTGGAGGATATTCCTAAGCCTTCCCTGGGAGGGACTGGCACAGGTTGCCCCATCCCTGGCAGTGTCCAAGGCCAGGCTGCAGTAACCTGGTCCAGTGCCCATGGCAGGGGTGGAACAGGATGAGCTTTGGGGTCCCTTCCAACCCAAACCACTCCAGAATTCTGTGATTCCATGATTTTACAACAAGCCCATCAGAGTTGGCCTCAGTAATACCAGACCCAGCCCCAAATACATCCCAGCACAGAATCCACACTCAGGGATCCACGAAGGTCAAGAGAAGCTCTGAGTCTTTCACAAGTGATTTTCAAACTATCTGGGATAAAAGAACAGGCAAAAGGATGGAGGAGGCTGTGCCATGTAAATACATCCCACAGGGAGTGAACTGTGCCAGCTGCTCCGAACCTCTGCCCTGCAAATTCCCAGGGAAAGGGACTCCAAACTCAACCCCCCCTTCACGAGGTGAGCAAAGTGCCCTCAGACAGCGGTTTTAATCCCTGCCCACACGAAAGCCGGGCCTGCAGCCCAGCTCAGGGGTCATTTGTCCCACTGTTTATTGGAGCTGACATTGTTAACACAAGTCCTGTTGTGTGTCAGATGGTCCTTTGCCTTCCAGCATCTGCTCCCCGCCCTGAGCTGGGAAAACTGCAGCAAATTCCCAACTCCTTTCTGAAGGGAGGCTTTTCAGGGAATTTACACAAAGGCAGGAAGGAACCTGGACCATCCTGGATGAGGGATGAGGGACAGCGAGAGGAAACAGGATGCTCCTCACCTTCCTGGTTACTGCTGGGTCCAGATAGCCCTTTAATTTCTGGATGTACGTGTGTGGAGGATTCTTCACTTGGAATCTTTCCTGCAAAGGAGACAAGAACAAACATCAGCCATTTCACAGCATCTTCTGTATTTACTTGTTCTCTATACAAACCACATATACATTTAAAGGCTACATAATTGGGATATAGTTTGATGTGTACATGCCTTATATTCCTAAGGATGTAATTTATGCACATATGATATGCATGCAAATAAAATGTATTTATATGTATCTTGACAGTCTGAGATTGGATATTTATATCAGATGCATAAAAATACATGTTACATATTCAGGGACGATTTTGAATTTTAATTACACAAACACACATCTGGAGTTATGGGGTTTCTGCTCTCCAGGAGAGGAAGGAGAAGGGGTAGAAAAGTGGATGCAGGTCCACATTTGATTGAAACCATCACCACAAAAGCCAAGACACCTCTTTCATCACTTGGAAAAAGCCCAAAACCACAGTGCATGGGCATGGGAAAAGTCTCATCACTCCTTGCTGGGATCACAGAAAGATGAACCAAAGAGCAGCGTTATCAGCAAGAAAGAGGAATATTCCAACTCTGTGACAGAAAATTGGATTGTCTCTGGAAAGGGCCCACCAGCTTCTCTTCTCCAGGCTGAACAATCCCATTCCTCCCATCCTTTCCTCCCAGGAGGGGCTCCATCCCTCTGATCATCGTGGTGCCTCCTCTGGACTGGCTCCAGCAGCTCCAGGTCCTTGCTGTGCTGGGATCCCAGAGCTGGAGGCAGCTCTGCAGGGGGGGTCTCACCAGGAAGGGAGCAGCAAATGCTGCTGAGGCCACCATTCCTTTTCCCAGGGAAATTATGGATCTGACACCCGTCCCTGTCCCACTGGAATTCCCAGGAATCAGGTGATCAACCCCAGGACACGGAGGAAGGCGGGGTGCCTCTGGTGGGCTTTCCCCACGTGAAACACCTCATGGCCCTCACCTGCTTTCCTGTCACACCAGCAGTGAGTCCAATCCCCTTCCCCACCCCACCCACCTGCTGCCAGTCCAGGCCATGAAATCCCTGCCTTCCTTTGAGACTCATCCCTCAAAATTCCAACCCCTTGGCCAGGGGGACACTCGACCTCCAATCCCCCATCAGCCCCATCTGGGCCTGAATCACAGCTTTTGGTGACAAACACAAGGTCTGCAGAGCCTGCACCCTGAGAACTCCTTGATTTTTCCCTGCTTTCCCAGTGGCATGGCCTGCTGGAAGTTCATCCCACCAAAGCTGCTGGGAAACACGAGTTGTTCCATGAGGAGAGAGCTCTGTCCAAAGCTGTTAAGAGCATTACCAAAAGTCCTGATGCTATTTGTATCTTGGAAGAGTTTTAAACTGTTCTGCCCCTCTCCCTGGAGGAAAGACCTCATACCAATTTCCTCCTGAAATGTCCCATTTTATAACTGTTATCTGAACCCTCCCTTTATTAGGTCAGGATGCAGTCTTGACTACGTTATCCCAAAGTCATTCCAGAGCGAACAGGACTCTGCTGCCCAGTTACCAGAACTGTCTGAACACCACGAGCTCTTCCTGTCATTATCTTGCTGCAAAAAAAAGGCAATTCACCGTGGTCAGCAGGAAAAAATGAACACACAAGTCTGCCCTGGTCCCTCAGCCCTGGTGAGAGCTCTGAGGACACACAGCAGACTTGGCTTTCCTCTTCTACAACCGGATTCTTTTTCCAGGCACCTTCACACCCACGGGCCAAACACGGCTCTGGAATTGGCATTTCCTTTCTTATCTAAAAAACAGTCCAGAAAATGCAAAGTTCTTCACTGACAGCTCCTCTCTGGCCAAGGGGACACCGACAGGGGCTGTCCTGCTCCATCCTCCCCCTGCACCATGGCCATGATTTCCTCTTGGCTCCACAGCACAGATTCTTGGAGCCATCTCATCTCAGCTGGTTCCCATGGCTCAGACAGACCCCTTTCTGGGATCACAGAATCCCAGGATGGTTTGGGTGGGAAGGGACCTCAAAACCCATCCCATTCCACCCCTGCCACGGGCAGGGACACCTTCCACCAGCCCAGGGTGCTCCAAGCCCCGTCCAACCTGCCCTTGGACACTTCCAGGGATGCAGGGGCAGCCACAGCTTCTCTGCCCAACCTGTGCCAGGGTTTGCCCACCCTCCCAGCCAGCAATTCCTTCCTAAAACACCAAACCTAAATTTCCCTCTGTCAGTCTGACAGGACTGTGCTGGGCCAGTTTCTGAGTCAGCCTCACAGCCCCCCCAGGACACCGTGGTTTTACACTGGGCATAAATATAAGTTATTTAACAGCACTTTCTACCCATTAACCCCTTTTAAAACTCCTTCCCACTGGCAGACAGACAAAAAAGCACTTTGTAAATGAGAACCTGGCCCATGGTTGACCAGTGAAGAGCTGTGGAGGTATCTGGACCTTGGAGACCACACCATTCCTCACTTTCCCCCTCAGCAGTTCCCTATGAGCTCCAGAGACGCTGCAGCACTTCAATAACCCCACCCTTTACCACAAAACCCACCAAGGTAGAAGTGTTCTCGCTGTGCCACTTGACACTCACGTCCAAATCCTGCTCTTTGCATCTCCAAGTGGTGGAGCACCGAGCCAAAGGTCACAGAACGATCCCAGAAGGGTTTGGGTTGGAAGAGACCCAAAGGATCATCCAGTTCCAACCCCCTGCTCCTCCTGACAGCAGCATTCCAGCCTAGCAAGGCTCCACCTCCCCTTTCCCATTTACCCCTCCCTTTTTGGGGGTTCTCCCCTGCTGGGTTTAGTCTAATCCTCCAGGGGAGCTATTTTGCTCTGAAGGATTTATTTCTCTTCCCAACTAATCAGCAGCTGAGGTGACAGGAGCTTTTCCCAACTGCCAGTTTTTAATAGCTGGAGTCTTCAAAACGAAATGTTTAAGGAGACCCAACGAGCACATTTTGCAGTCTGGGCTGCAGATACTCAATGTTTTTGTTTATTTTCTTAAAACCTGGCTGTAATTATGTATTTATGTAATAATCTCTACAGCAACTTCAGTTAAAAAGATGCTGCTTATTCCTGTGGATTGGAATCCTTCGGGCTGAAGGATTTTAAAGCCATTATCCACCAAGAGCAGCCACCAGCAATGCTTTTCCCTAACAAGCGACCAAGAACCACTTATGGGAAACATCTCCTAGTCCTGGAAAGATTTCCACAGCCCCTTAAAGTGTGGGTTTGTTTTTTTTTTTCTGGTTTGGAAAGCCACGAGGGATTAGCCTTTAAAAGTGCCCTTTCCTGGCTGTGATGACTGTCTGGGTTTATCCAGCTTTGACTGTTTTACATTAGAGGCTCATTAAGAAGCTGCAAGAACCAGGGCTTGGTGCTGTGCAGAGAGGGCAGCCCGAGGCTTCCTGAAGCCTCTGGATCACCCTGAGTGCCTGGTTCCAACTCTCCAGTGGGAGCTCCCACGGGGTGGGGCTGGCTGGAGGCTGACCCTCCTCTTCCCACGAGTGCCGTGGAGTCGGGGTCCTCTCACGGTCCTTGCAGGAGCATCCCCACAGCCCCAATTCCCAGCCAGCACCGAGAGCCTGCTCTGCAAACCACGTGCCTCAGAAAGCAGAAATAAAGAGCTGAGACTGATTGCTTTCTCCTGCCTGCTCCTCCTCTCCACTCCTGGCAACTCCCAGCCGCTCCCCGGCCAAATCCGCTCTCCAAATCCCGATTTTTACGGTGAGGGTTCGACACTCTTTGAAGGAGGAGGTCGGAGGGGGGGGGTTTACCACACGCACATCAAGTTTAAAATGCAGATCTGAGTGGCCAAACTTTGCTCAGCAAACAGCATAAGCCAGGGGGTGACGTCACGACTGGGACGTGGTGGCTTCTCCTCCCGGCCCCGCCAGGATTGAGCCCTTCAGACACAACAACGTTAATCCATCCTGATGGAACCTGTTTTATCTCCTCTCTGTGACTCATGTGAGCACCAACAGCATCCACAGCCCCGAAAGGAGGGAGGCAGAGCAGCAATAACTCACCACTGCCTTTGTCAGCCACCCACAAAGCAAACTAACTTAATTCCTGGGGATAAAGGCCCCCTTTTCGCTTGGAAAAATCGCTGAGGATGTGGCTGCCCCTGGATCCCTGGAAGTGTCCAAGGTCAGGCTGGACAAGGCTTGCAGCAACCTGGGCTAGTGGAAGGTGTCCCTACCCATGGCAGGGGGTGGAATGAGGTATCTTTAGGATCCCTTCCAACCCAAACTATTCCATGACTCTGTAATCCAGGGGGAGAGCCTGGATGCAGCAGCACAACACACTCCTGTGCCTCTCTTATCAGCAATATCCAGAATTAGCCCTTTCTTTTCTGATGGATTAAAAAAACAACGTGGGCTGGGGTGTTTTACTTCAGCAGGCAAGAGGAACTGCTGGATTTCTGCATTTCCTCTTCCACATGATCCTACAGAGACCTCGATGCATCTCCTGGTCACGCGACTCTGGAAAACGTATTAATCCCGTAACCAGGAAATCGCAGCTCCTCCAACAACCTCTGGCTCCCAAAAAACATTCAGGACATTTCTCTGCATCAGCACATATGTTATTATCATCACTAGCATCACCCTTGCTAAGTTGTTTCATTCCTAGGATTCACAAATGCTCGGGGAGCACCCGGAGCATCCGATGGGATCAGAGCCCCGCAGGCTGTCGGGGCCTGCTGGGAGAGCACAAAGCCCACAGATGGAGATCACTGGGGAAGGAGATGGACAAGCAGGGCTGGACACCGGTGTCTTCTCCTTGCTGAGGCACAAACACATCGTGGATGTGGTTTGTAATTCCCCCATCTCCCACAGAGCCACGGTGTGGCTCGATCCTTGCCCAGAAACCCAGCCAGGCCCACCAGCAGGACAACACGGCACAGAGAAGTCTCCTAACGGAATGAGACGACAGCAGCTGCTCATCTCTGCTCTGATTAGGAGGCAGAATGATCCATTTCCACCACAGTCCATGTCCTGCCACGCCAGGTCACCAGCACCTCTGGAAGGGACCCGGCCAAGATGTGCAAGGGTGGGATGCTCGGAGGCTGGAGATCAGCCCCACCACCCCGAGCCTTGGACCCCTCATGCCTCATCTCCAACCACCGTGTCTGGTGTTCCTCGAGTCTCCTCTCAGGGCCACCCAGTCAGACAAATGAAGCCAGGGCTGTCTCTAAGTTCAACAGCTCCCCAGGCCACTAAAACCCGTTATGTTCTCCCCTGTATTTCCCCACAGCTGGGGAGATTCACTGACAGTCACCAGGGTTTTTTTAAGAAAAGGCTCTCAACCCAGAGGTGTAAATGCAGCCCTTGGGAAGAGAGTTTGGGTGTGAACCACACACCTTTCATTTCCAGGGTCTCCATCCCCACACACCTCCCGTGCCTCCAGAGGTGAGGAGGTGGTGATGCCCCTGCCACCCTTTGCCATTAGAGGGCAATGAAGAACTTTGGAAGATGTTCCCAACTTCTCCCCTCCACACCCCTGTCCCTCTGGAACACCTCATGGCACCCACCTGGGGAGAGAGGCCTCGAGGATCCCATTTCCTGGCTTCCCATACCAGGAAGGGGCATCCTCTTCCCTGCCTGGATCCTTCCCAGTGCCAACCCCACAGATGACCACCCCTGACCCTCTCCAGGGTGGGCAACAAGTTTTCTGGCTTTGCTCTTCTCCTCCTCCTCCTTGTCCCCTAAGCAAGGGTAGGGAGCAGGCTCTGAGGACACCAGTGCAATGCTGAGATGCTTCCAAGGTTTTACAGACAAAGGAACACAAAATTCCACATGGGATGAGTCCTCCACAACCAGCCCTGCAACCCTGGCAAGGTTTCCCAACAAAGCACATAATCCTGCTCATGGCAGATTACAATTATTATTATCATTATTATTATTACCAGCATCAGACCTGTAGCTCCCCCCACTTTTGTTAATCCCACTTTTGCAAAAGTGAAAAGTTCCTTTTGGGGGCCAAACTGTCTCCAATATTCTCAAAATATTCCACGTGCAAACATCCAGGATCTGCTTTTCAGCCTATTTAGAAAACATCACTGCAGATCAACCTCTGGACACTTTGTCCTTTTAAATAGAAGTTGGGGAGAGAAAGAGTTAATTCCCTCAAGCTGCTACATTCATTTACAAGCAAAACCAGGTGAAAATGGTGTGTGGGGGGTGAAACCAAGGGGAAAAAACACGAGTGAAAATATGCCCCCACAGCAAACTCAGCCCTGTGCACAAACCCTATTCCTGGAGGTGCTTTTGGCCCCACCATTACAGGGACACACATAAATATTTCACACCCCATCTGCTGCATTTTGGTGCCTTTACCAGCACCTGCTCAGGATGATGAGATTTGGAGGGGGTTGGCAGCACCCCCCGGGGATGGGACTGACCCCAGAGAGCCCCTCTCTGCCCAGGAGTGTCCCCTGCATGGCTGGACATGGGCAGGGTGGCACATGGTCACCTCTCCTCCTCCTCCTCCTCTTCGCAGTGCTGGGCTCACAGTGCCAGTTCCATCAGCCCTGTGTGGCTTCCCTGCCTCTCCAGGAGATGGGAAGCGGCCTCATCCCAACCCGGGGGTGGACTGGAGTTGTGCAAGGAGCTGTTAAGAGCCACAATTACTCCAGATTGCAGATTTCCTTCCCATCTGCTCAGCCCTCCCATCCCCGAGCTCGGCAGTGAATCAGCAGCAGCTGCACAGGGTGGATCAGCTCCGAGGTGGGAATTTGCACATCCAGGCTGGGATCAAACTGCTTCTGCCTGTCCTGCTGCCAACTCGGAGCAAGGGCAGCACATGGACTGCAGCACGGAGCTCACGCTTCCCTGAGCTCGGAAAACACCCAGGAAACAAATCACGGAATTACAGAATCCCACAATGGTTTGGGTTGGAAGGGACTTAAACCTCATCCAGTGCCACCCCTGCCATGGGCATGGTCACCTTCCACCAGCCCAGGTTGCTCCAAGCCCCGTCCAACCTGGCCTTGGACACTTGCAGGGATCCAGGGGAGGCCACGACCACTCACGGCAGTTCCTGCAATTTTTCAGTGTCTCACTAAACCAAAACTTTAAATAGGTCAAACTTTACATTCTCTGCACAGAAAACTCATGGGAAAAGAGCAAGTAATTCTTTATTCAGCTCTACTTTAAGGTGCCTGTGCAATGGTTTTAAACTGCCAGAGGGCAGGGAGAGATGGGATATTGGGAAGGAATTGCTGGCTGGGAGGGTGGGCAGGCCCTGGCACAGGTTGGGCAGAGAAGCTGTGGCTGCCCCTGGATCCCTGGAAGTGTCCAAGGCCAGGCTGGACGGGGCTTGGAGCAACCTGGGCCGGTGGAAGGTGTCCCTGCCCATGGCAGGGGGTGGAATGGGATGATGCTTTAAGGTCCCTTCCTAGCCAAACCAGTCTGGGATTTTACAACTTCCTCAGAGGCTCCACCACTGTCAGCAGCTAAATAGGAAATGTCCCATGAATTTATCCAAATATTCCTGACCTCCAGCATGACTCCTGCCAAACTCCCACCCTGGTATTCCCGTGTTTATAGTTCAAGGAACCACCCTCCTTTCCCAGTCCTGGATGGATGATTTCCATCAGCCATCACTGCTGCCCTTCCCGGCAGACGCTGATTTTGCTGCTGGCTCCCAAACGCACATCCTACCTCCTTCACACTCCATTTTCCCAGCAATGCCACTTCTGTTTATGCACCCTGGCAGAGCCAACCTGTTAATTGTTGTGTGCTCTGCCAGGCCTGCCCAGCTCCCACACGGAGATGCCTCAGCATCTGTCGCTGCCTAATCCGAGGTTGTCGGCAGCCTCTGGAGGTGAACGGGAGTTCAGGCTGCATCACCAGCCTCCTGTGCCTGGAGGTGACAGCTACTGCTGGCAGGGACAATGCTGGGGACGTGGGGACCCAAATACTGCCTGGGTTGAGAGCGTGTGTTCAGCACAGGGGTCAGGACAGAGCAGGCTCAGAGGTGACTGCAGGGCACAGCCAGCAGCACTGGGCAGTGACACAGCTCCCCAAATCCCCCCAGGGCCCCCTCACCTGGTCGCAGATGAGCTCCCACTTCTTCTCGTTGTCGTACTGCCGCAGGAGCCGCGCCTTGTCGGGAGGCAGGTTCATGGAATTCTGTGGGGAGAGGGAGAGAGCCGTGAGGGACAGCAGGGACAGGCTGGAGCAAACCCCGGCAGCGGGGCTGTGGGGGGGTAATCGGTTTCTGTGAGCTCCTGGTGACAGAGTCACGCAGAAAAATCTCCTCTGGATGTTGGGTTTGGCCCCAAAGGCACCAGTGAATCACAGGGCACCCAGGGGCAGGGCTGGGCACCCAGGGGCAGGGCTGGGCACGGGGCCACGCGAGGTGAGAGACTGAGGACCCATCCTGAGCTCCAGTTTCCTTTTTTTCAGGAGAAAGTTCTTCCCTGTGAGGGTGGGGAGGTCCTGGCACAGGTTGCCCAGAAGAAGCTGTGGCTGCTCCATCCCTGGAAGTGTCCAAGGCCAGGTTGGATGGAGATCTGAGCAACCTGGGCTAGTGGAAGGTGTCTCTGCCCATGACAGGGGGTGGAACAAGATGGGCTTTAAGGTCCCTTCCAACCCAAACCATCCTGTGATTCTGTGATCAGCCACCTCCATCCAGCAGAGAGGACAGGAATCCCCTGAGCTGCCACAGCACAGGAGCCACCTTCCATCCCAGAAGGGTCCCTGGGGTGCTCCACACCCCCTTCCCTTCCCCTGAGCACACTCCTAAGGGAAACACCCTCTCCCCTGCAGGCTGGGGGCTGCAGAAGGACACTTCTCCCCCAACCAGCCCATGAAATGCCGTTTCATTTCATTCCAACAACTCTTCAGGTTGTTAACCGTCCCCACCTGGACCTTATCTGGGTAACAGAGATCCCAGAGGTGGGACTGCCCAACCCCCAGAGATAACGATCCCAGCCTGAGAGCCCCGAGTCAGAGGGAGAGGCAGCAATTAGGTGATGCCTATCGTTTGCTGGCTCCTTTGATGTCAGCACAGATCTCCTGCCACCCTTCCAGGGGCACTTCTCCAGGGAAGGGTGGCACGGGCTGGCCACTGGCTCCCAAGGCAGCTTTCCAGAACTGTCCCACCTGTGACAGGCCAGGAATGCAAGCACCAGGGCTGGAGAGGAGCCCTATCAGCCCAGCAGAGAGGAACAGGGGTGAGGGCTTGGGTGGAAAACCCTCTGAGCACCTCTTGGTCTTCAGCACTCTCTGGGCTCCAGTTTAAATTCCCAGACCAGCCCCAGTTATGCCCAGTTAAGCCCTGAGCACCACAGCCCATCCAGGACCACTGCCAGGGCAGGAGGAAGGGCCAGCTGGTCCCTGGCACAGCAGGGATCAGTAAATCCATGTCCTGGCACCAAACCCTCTCTGCAGGATCACCCCCTTCCCAAGCTGTGCCATGGGCAGCCCTACAGCTTTACTGCAAGAGGATCCTCAGGACCATCCCAGATCCACACTCTGCTGCATCCCAGAGCCCAGACCCCTCTGCTTCCTCACACAAACCCCATCCCAAAGGGAAGAGCAGGGATGTGGACAGTCCCAGCTGCCACCAGCCCCACCCAGAGCAGCTGCCAGGATCAGACACCCAGGGATGCTCAATGGCACCCAGAAAATCAGGATTTAAATAAATCCCTGGCAGGACTGCAGGTGCCTGGACATGGTGTGTGCAGTGCTGACCACACTGCTGGGCACCACAACAGCCAGGAGAGCCTTGGGGGACGAGGGATTGCTGAAGGGCACTGCCCATCCATGGCATCCCGGGTTTCCTGGCTGCAAAGCAGGATCCAGGATCAGTGTGATCCAGGAGCACACGTGGCATCTGCCTCCTCCAACCTGGAGGAGGCTCAGCACAGGGGTGCCCCTCACCCCAGGGCATCCCCAGGAGCACTGGTGGGGTGCAGCCACCACCTGCCACCAAGCACAGGAACAGTGACACGAGCTCCAAACACCATCCCCAAGTTCAGTGTGACAGCAAACTCCTCCTTCCTGGGAACACTGTGGGCCTGAGGGACCCCTCCAGTGCACTTGTTCCTCCTGGTCCACCCAGGAGCACCGAGGGGGTGAGGACAGCCAGGGTCCCCAGCCCATCCTGCCACCTGCACCTTGTGTTTTCTCCTCCCTCCATCCTGCCTGGAGTGTCACCTGCTCCCAGGGATCCCCCCACGCCTGCTGCTGTGATCCCTGCTCTTCCTAAAGCTTGCCTGCCATCAGATAACAAATACTCTTCCTTTTGCTCATCCCTGCTGTCATGTTGACAGCATTTACAGGCTCTGATGGTATCTGTGCCTGATTCTCCTCTCAGTCTCTCACCGGGCTCCTTATCAGCTCCACTTATCATTCAGTGCACTCCTCGGTATTTTTCCTGGGGGTTCTTCCCTCATTCCTCACCTCTGAGGATGCAAACATGTTTCACAGCTTCACTGGAGCCCAGCTGGAGGAAAAGCTTCCCTGTTTACCTGCAGCAGCCCCTTGTCAAGCTCTGATCTCCTTAGAGCTAATCAGCTTAGGCACCAGGCTGGCACCGGGACAAGAAACCTGCCTGGAAACCCCTGCACAATCCAGGCATGGCAAGAGTCCAGCAGAGATGAGAGCCTGGAACAGGGCAAACAAGAGGCAGGCAGCAGGTCCCAGTGATCTCATCCCAAAATGAATTCCATGTGATCTCACTCTGCTCCGGGGACTCCTTCTCTCCACGTACCTCAGCGACTGCTGGGGCTCAGGTCACACACCCTGCCCTCTCCAGCAGGGAAAACCCTTCCTGAATTATTTAGGAAGTGTTTATGCACCTCATGCACAGCCAGGTTCAAGCCCCAGTGGGTGATTTGCACCTGCTCACAGCTCAGTCAGGGATTTAAAGCAGCTGTGACACCTGCCCGTGTCCAAGTCCCTGACCACGCTATGGACAGGACCAGCTCACACCAGAGACCCCCCAGTCCCTCACTTCATCTCTGGGGAGGGAACTGGGAAGCAAACTGCCCCCTTGGCTCCCTGTGCAGCCCAAGGCAGGGATGGATCTACCAGAGAGTGTCCAAAGGAGGCCACGAGGAGGGGAAGGGTCTGGAGGGGCCACACGAGGAGCAGCTCAGGGCACTTGGCTTGTCCAGCTGGAAGAGCCTGAGGGGAGACTCATGGGGATCTGCAGCTTCCTCAGGAGGGGCAGCTCCAATCCCTGCTCTGGGTGACAGGGACAGCCCCCAGGGAATGGCTGGAGCTGTGTCAGGGCAGGCTCAGGGTGGATCTCAGGGAAAGGTTCTTCCCCCAGAGGGTGGTTGGCACTGAACAGGCTCCCCAGGGCAGTGGGCACAGCCCCAAGGCTGCCAGAGCTCCAGGAGGGTTTGGATGATCCTCTGGAGCACAGGGTGGGATTGCCAGGGTGTCTGTGCAGGGCCAGGGGTTGGACTGGATGGTCCTTGTGGGTCCCTTCCAGCTCAGGATTCCATGATTCTACATCATCCCTTCCCTCAAACCTGCACTAACACTGTTCTTCAGCTGGTCTTACTCCTAACAACCACTCCCTGCTGGAAAACTAGTTCCTAAGCCGTGATATTTTTACTTGAATGGGAAGCAATATATTTTCTTTCCATCCCTGCATGGCCCTGCACCAAAGGGCTTCCTGAAATCCAAGTGTGCTGCTCCTCATTGCGTAACTCCGGCTGTTCCAGCAGGATCCATGGCAAGGAAGGCTCCTGGACTGGCCAGCTCGGCCTCACCAGCTCCAGCAGCTTGGACTCCAGTCCTACCCAAGCAGATGACTCGGTGTCTGGGTCTCTTGCTCTCAGTGTTCCAGTGAAATGACTCACCAAGGTCTCCTGGCCACTTCCAGCCCTCAGGACTGTGGGCTTCACACATACCAGAGTTTTCAGTTAACTACAGGTCTGTGACCTGTGGTTTCTATTTCCATCTTTGCCCAATTAGAGTTTTGAAGGCTCCTGAGAGCGGAATTATCTCCCCCCACGAAACAATCCAAACTGCTGGCAGAAGGGATGGCCCCACTCCCTCCTCTCCCCCTGTGTCACCACCAACACTTGCACAGCTGGAGACCCTTTGCCAGCAGAGCAGAATTCCATCAGCTCAGGAAGAGCTGTACCCTTACACTGGATACCCAGCCTCCATCAGGATTCCTTAAAAACCCATTTCTGCCACTGGCAACAGCTGCTGAAGCTGCCCCACTGTGCTGCCCCCCACTGCTCTGCATCCCCATCCCCATCCCCATCCCCATCCCCATCCTCATTCCCTCCTCGTCCCCTCCTCATCCCCAGCCTCATTCCCACCCCTTCCTCATTCCCAGCTGGCTCTGGGAACGATGGACACACACACCTGGGTGGCTCATCCCAAACATGATCCAGGTTAAAAATAACCATTTTTGGCCAAAGCCAGGTGAGCTCCGAGGCTCCGCTCCTTCCTCCCGCACCCGAGGAAATCAGCCCCGCCTTCCCCACCACACTCCACATTTCCACTACCTCACAGTGCTTCTAGGACTGAAGAAGGGGAGGAAAAAAGCCAAAGAGCCAAGCTCTGGCACATCATCCTGCCTGGCTGTCTCTGAGGAACTCGCTGCTCCGCTGCGTCCGAGCGTGGCTTCCGACCCCTCAGGAACAGCCCCACACTCCACCCTGGAGCTGAGCACCCAGGGGAACCCCAGCCTGGCCCTCCCCAGCACCCTGCTGTCTGCAAGGGCTGCTTTCCAACCCCAAGAGCACAGAACTCCTCTTTTCCCCCCGAATTCCGAAGTTATTCACGTCTGCTGTGCCGTGCCAAGTAATATCGGTGAGGTTTCCATTCCGTGTGCTCTGGGCTGGCAATAGAAAGCTAAAACTTCAATTAATCACGGCAGCAGATGGAAAACTGGGGGAAATACTAGCAGGGCTACAAAACATTAAATTGCTTAAGAGTTAAAAATAAAACCAAGAGCACATCAAGGAAATATATGTGTTTTTAACCTGTGAAACAAAGCCCAGCTCTGTCCAAGCTGGCACAATCTCTAATTCCAGCTTTTGGCACTGAAATCTGATTTTATGGACTGATCTGCAAGAGCAGGGCACCACCACTTCGCCCCTGGCCTCAAAAGTGCTCCCTGGGGATTGTCATGATGTTCCCTTCCATGGAAAGAT